AATGAAATAAAAAAGCGAGTCTCTCTTAGCAAGCCTCCCCACCACTGCCAAGTGGAAGTGACGTAGTAGAAAGAGATAGACATATAGAAAAAGCGGAAGGAGGGAAGCAGAAGGCCTATCTCAATTAAATAAGCTTCGAATAACGGTCAAGTCAAATTAATGACAGTGTGATTATTTTTTAATGTTTTATTGTATTGTCAGTCGAAATAATTTATTTTTGATTAAGGATTTTGGACCCAATTACGGTTACTTTTTATGAAAGAAAGAGTTTGTTAACAAATGTAATGGTTTTCACATACGACTTGTTGCAAGCGTAACGCAATACGTGCGTAACAAACAAGCCCTTGTTGTAGAGACTTATTGTCACTGCGATAGCGAATGAAACGACAACGTTCATATGTGACTATGTAATTATTTGTTCTCTTGTAGGTTGCAAAGTGACCCCCGAGTGCTACGGACGTATGACGCAACTACTGCGGGGCCTGGCGGGCGGACGGGTCGTCCTGTGTCTGGAGGGCGGGTACAATATCACCAGCATCTCGTACTGCATGGCCATGTGCACCAAGGCGTTACTCGGGGACCCCATCTACTACCACTACGACCCCAAGACCCCGTGCTCCTGGTCCGCCATCGACTCCATCCGTGACGTCATAGACACACACAAGAAATACTGGAAGTGTCTTAAGTTTCACGTCGCGTTGCCAGCAGACAGTGTCCTAGAACCACCACTGCCATCCAGAGGCTTGATTACAGACCAAGATCTAGAGATATCAGCGTGCAACGAAGACATGCATAACTTGTCGGCTAAGTCAAGCGCAAGTAACTTAGAAATGTCACTGGAAGCGAGCATGGGAAACTTAAATATAGGAAAGAAGTGTTCCGACGGTATACACTGCGGTACAGATGACGAGGATGAACAGCCGAAGCCATCACGGAGTACTGACAACCCTGACGCTGGTACTAGCACAGATAAAACACTCGCCAAAGACGCACCAACTAGTCCTGGGAAAAGGCCTCTAGATGAAGCCACGAAACCAGAGAAAAAGCCGACTTTAGTCGATTATTTAGCAGAGAACATGCAATCGATACTTGACGGTGAGATGTTTGCGGTGGTCCCCTTGGCATGGTGTCCACATTTGGATTCACTGTACACTTTACCGGAAGAAGTGAAGTTTGAACAAGGCGTCAAGTGTGTAGACTGCGATCATACCGAAGAGAATTGGGTCTGCTTGCATTGCTATATCGTAAGTATACCCATTCTTAACTTTTTCGTACCTTGTTTCTCTTTTATAGTATAATCATTTAGGTGGTACATTTACAATGTCCATATTTTGCTTTTTTCAGACGGCCTGCGCCCGCAGTGTGAACGGGCACATGCAAGCTCACTTCACAGCCACCGGCCACGCGCTAGTGTTGTCCTTAGTCGATTTGTCAGTATGGTGCAATGTATGCGACGCTTACGTTGATAACTCGCTACTCTATGACGCTAAGAATAACGCGCATAGGTGCAAGTTCGGGGAGGACATGCCCTGGTGTTATAAGACTGATATACATATGCAATAGGGATATTTACACGAGTAGGTGAAAGTATAAATTGCGGCTGAAATTCATAAACGATCTCATTCTAAAATCTTCACGTTAGAAGTAGTGTGAAAAATCAACATCAATCCAAAGATTTTAAGTTGAGGTCGGTTATTCATTTCGGTCTCCAAAAGGGTGTTATCAAAGTATTGGAAATATCACATGGAATGCTATTCCGGTTACAGATACATAATTTAGAGATAGTACAATTTCATCTTCATATATTTAAATAAAGTCTAATTAATTGTTAACATTAACTTATTAAAGTAAACCAGTGTTGTAATCAAACGTTAACATTCCAGTGTAATAAATCGATGTTTAGAATAATTCTTGTTGTTAGGCCTGAATTAACATAGTGTTTTCATGCAAGGGCCTAATAAAATATCACTGCATATCTTAACCCGCAAAATAAACCTTATTGCTTACAGAATAGAGATGTTAGATAAGCTTAGTACAATGAAGTACAATAATATTATTCTACAACTATTATAACATTTGTAGCACCCTTGTATATTTATGTAAATAGCTACTATTTATAACTTTATACATTTTTAATGATTTTGTAACTATTTTATGTACCGTATGTCTAGATGATGAAGCGCTACTCATTTTTAATTTCTGTCACTACAAATTGTTTTTAAAATAACAGAGATGCCACGATATTTAGGTATAATTTAAAATTGAGTAACCTTTCAGTATTCGGGCGTTAGAATAATTGGCCAGTGTTATAAAATATCTTACTTTATATTATACTTTAGTGGATTAACCTGTGTTTGTACGTGTATTCGTTTATTTACATACGGTCAGTCGCATTTACCTTTCTCTCTGTAGATTACTTATTAATCCATTAACCTGTGAAGTGTCGGAACACAGATCTACGCGAGACAATGTGTTTTCTATTGTGTCTCATATATCGACAGAGGTTAAACCCCGCAAACTTTGATCCGCCTTAGACATTTTTCTACTTTATTTTTTTCTTACATAACATATTCTCTTAACAATAACAAACACAGAATTAACGAAATCGGTTCAATTGTTCTCGAGATTTGCGCTTAGCAACACATATAGCGATTCATTGTTATATTATTGATGATATTAGACAAATATTGGCCGAGTGGTCGCAAGGCCGACTGCCGGGCAAGGGGTCTCGGGTTCGATTCCCGGGACGGGCAAAGTATTATTGGGTTTTTAAAAATTCTCAGTTATAGCACGGAGTCTGGAATTGTGCCCGGTATATGGCAATAAGTAATCAGCGATGTCGTGGTGGCTCGGAGGTTTAAGACGCCCACTTCTCATGCATGAGGGTGCGGGTTCGAAACCTACCAACGGCAAGTACCAATGTGACTTTTTCCGAGTTATATGTACTTTCTAAGATTATTTAGACACCACTGACAAACGGTGAAGGAAAAACATCGTGAGGAAACCTGGACTTATAATTTCTAATTATAAGTTTGAAATCGCCAACCCGCATTGAGCAAGCGTGGTGATTAATGCTCTAACCTTCTCCGTGTGAGAAGAGGCTTTGCTCAGCAGTGGGCATTTATAGGCTGTTGATGATGATGATGATATGGCAATAGGCTCACCCCCTATTACATGGGACTCATAACATAAATAGTGAAAAGTGGGTGTTACATTGTACAATGGCATAATGTGCACCTCTGCCTACCTCTTCGGGGATAAAAGGCGTGATGTTATGTTATGTTGTTGTATTGTATAGACTTTATATCAAAATTCTATCTCTAGAAACCTAATCTATCGACAGAGAGGTCATTGAGACTAGCTATTATTTACTAATAAAATTAATCGTTAATTAGGTTTCGATTTGATGTTGTGTACTAAATATATTCGACAAATAACCAATGGACGAGCTACTTAGCAAACTTGTCAGATATAAGTATCCATACCATACATTACAGTTTGGCCTACCGTTCATGTCTTATAGCCGTTCTCGGACATTTAATGATCGCTGATTACTTAAACTATTCCTTAGTAACGATTTTGTTTGTAAGTAAAACACTTTAAGTACGGCGGATGTTTCATATCATCCAACGAAAAATAGATAAATTGCCCCAGTAACCATGGTATGTAATCTAAAAAGTGAAACCAATACTGAAACGTTATTAAATTTTAAGTCGCGCTTAAGTATAGTTCTCTGTCGAGGAGAACCTAACGGGTTACCGGGGCTCCGGTTCGAAGTGCAGGAGTAGAAACGGGGTGGTTTTTAGTCAGTAATAGTCTGACACTCCCTCCCGTCTCACCCAGGCTGGAGAAGTCATTCGATGATGTTACCCCCTTAAAAAAAGTATAGTTATCTCATTACATTGTTTTTGTAAAATGACAGAACTGGCACGATATTTAAGCACGACCTAAAATTGAGTAATGTTTCAGTATTCCGGCAATAGATACTTATTTCTGTCTACTCCAGACCTTAGATTATAATTTATGAAATACCCAAAATAGAAGTGTTGCCATAGAAATATTGTTTAAGATTTAATCAAATAAACTTTTTTGTGTACCTTCCTATTTTGCATACTAACATATAATTACGAAACATTTTTGATTATAGTTATTAAAAATATCTTTGTGTCGTGAACTCGACTTACGTTTCTTAAAGATCTTTGTAGGTAACCATTGAGAAAGAGCTTTTTATGTGTAATGTATATTATTATAGTATGAAATTATCACACTTATATAAGCAGCTAATATTGAATCATAATTTCAAGAAATAATTGAAACAAAAAAGTTTATTTTTTAAATATTCCTTTCCAAATAAAGTAGTGTTATAGATACAATAACAAGCAGCTTAATAACTGTTATTTTTTTTACCTGTTAATTAAATTAATAAAGTAATATTTACTTCAGTTTGTTTTAAAAACATAAACTAATTTATTATACTTTTACTAGCAAGAACTACTTAACCTTACGCTAGGTATACTGTATCTATTTAAATAATAAATTATGGGCAGATTAGTGTGCCAAAAATTGCTCATAATTGTAACTAATACCAAGTATGAATTAACAAAATAATAAAATCATATCATATTATTCAAATTGGTTTTACTTTCCTATGAAAATTTACTATTATTAGACGACGGGGGAGCCAAAAGATACAGGTAATTAGTAAGTTATCCTTCGACATGGAAAACTATAAAGCTTAGTTCAACAGTGGAAGTCTTCTGATTCTTATTGAGAAGCGGTAGTGCCGCAGTACTTAGTAGTAATCTGCTGTATTAATAGGTTATGATCATAATATTGGATCTATTGACTTAGTCTTCCAAAATAAATAAGAAATTCCAGATTATTTAAAGATTTTTATGAATTAATTAAAGTTAGTTAGTCGATTTATTTCTGCAATCAAGTGAAACATCCCTATTGCCAACAAAAGAACTGTCAAATATTATCTGTCAATCAGAAACCGGGGAAAATCGTTGGGTGTCGGGTGTCGGCTAATTTGTTCCGTCTTAAAATGTATTTTTGCATTGACGATAAATTAGCTAAATAAATAAAAGTATATATTTGACACACCCAATCGGTGTGGAACCAAGATGTTTGTTGATACTGAGATACTGAAGGCTATTTCATTTAAGGAAACAGCCAAATTACCATGTCGCTATTGGGTTTTGGTGTTTCTCAGATTTCTGTACACCATCCTTCCGCAGCGCGGCTACATACACCCGGACGAATTTTTTCAAAATGTTGAAGTGATTGCAGGTTAGTATATTTAAATGTTTCCCAATGTTTAATTACTACCAATGGATTGTTTCATTTAATATTTTCCACATTTAATCAATGTTTTTTGTATTAAAGTTAAATAATTATGTTCTAAACACGTTATGTAGGCGTTCAATTAATTAAGAGGATTGTAGGAAGCACTACGTTTTTATTTGTGTTTAAATTAAACAACAACATTGAATAAAATTATTTTATTAAGTAACATATGGTGTACAGCGCAATATATAATCGTTTATTTAAATCGTTTCTTATAGGTACCTAGTTTAATTTGTCAATTTATAATTTACACACACACAGTATGTATAGAAAATCTTCAACTATTAATTACTTTACAAAAAACTGAATTATCTTTACAAACTTGAAATAAAATATAATAACGCAAAATAATTGCACTTAAATATCAATTTATTATCACAAAATTTTACAAGATTTTCTACCAATATTATTGTAAAATCAACATAATATTTTAGTTCTGATTCTTTGTAACAAATTACAATAACAATCTACAGGTGTGGTGTATAATAACAATAAACAATCCGATTTTTAATATACTAGGTTTGGCCCGCAGCTTCGCCCACATTCCCTCGGGATAAAAAGTAGCCTGTGATATTCCGGACCATAATGTTAGTAAGATTCCAACTGTGCTATTTATAGCTACAACTTTTTGTTATCCAAGAGGGACTATTTCAACATGACACCTAAATTCATCATGAAATTAGGCCATTTACAAAATTCTCTGTGATGAATGTTTCAAAATTTAAACTTTTTATTGATACTAATTTGCATCGTGAATTTTGTAAATGTAACTTATTGAATAATTTTTAAAACAATGTTTCTCTCAATGTACTCTTACTTGTATATACAAAAGCGCAGAAATATTGTCTTAAAAACATACCTACTAGTAGGTACACACACCTATTACAAATCTTAATGAAAAAAAAATTGCCAATTAATACAATTTCTCAAAAATATTTTCAATCACTATTGTAGCAATACTGGATTAATGATACATCTCATGCTGAGCCATTTTCGAACCTAACTTAGGTACACAAGGTAGTTTTTTTTCTATCTCGGTCTCATTACAAGATCAATGACATAATATTTAGTTTACTAACACAAGAACACATACATGTACAATATGTTATGATAAGAATTACAATAATATAAATGGCATGCTTATCAGTATTATAAATGGACCAATATAAACAATTGAACATAAGTCTTGACATAAAAAATCTTTGCATATCATAAAAATATACAAAAAAAAATTTTTTGTTCAATATCAATGACATTTTTATAATAGTAGTTACAATGAAATTTTCTAAAAAACAAAAAATATCAATTATAGATTATTGTGAAGATACTAATGTATCTTCTGTTAGTATCCAATCAAAGCAAACGCCGTTCCTAATTTTAAAGGCGTAAAACGAGCCAATTCCACCTTTCTATGATCTCTTCTTGTAATTAGCTAGTCGGCGTTTAGAATATTGTTGAAGTACTGCAAGACAGCAATGCCACTCAAAACGTATGACGCGGCGGGTTTTGAACAGAAAGAACAGCTCTCTCGGTCAGTTTTATTCCCCCTATGACATGCCCAAACACCGATTTGTAGCTTGGGCATTGTGTATAGACTTCCGCTGTAGAGGATTTTACAGGTGTATTTTTGTTTCGGTTATTCATAGAATTAATCAATGTCGTTATAATTTGTTTCAGGCGATATCTTCTCAATCGACGTATCAAAAACATGGGAATTCGACCCAAAGTTTCCAATCAGAAATATATTAGTGCCTAAAATGATACTCGGTCCGCCACTTCACTTCATCCAATTCTTCAACCCTTACTTTAAACACTATGTTGGAATTGATCTGAAAACACCATACTATTTGTTGGTGATACCGCGACTTTTTATATGTTTCTTGTCCCTTATAAATGACTTCTGTTTGTACAGAATTTGCGTCTTATACGGACAAAATTTCAGGCACAGACTTACTATATTCGCCAGCTCATACGTGGTCTTTGTCTACTGTTGTAGAAGTTTTTCAAACACGTTTGAAACGATATTGTTTTCGATGCTGCTCCTCATTGTCGCAGAATCCATGCAGAAGTCTGATAAAGTCATTTATCATAATGAATTTCTAAAAGAAAAGTATGAAAATGCTGCTACAACTGTCGAAAAAGTAAAGATTTTTAAACTGTCGACACATTTACCGCAGCATTCATTGAACAATGTGATCATTTTAGCCACAATCGTGGTTATTGGTATTTTCAATCGTCCTACATTCGTATGTTTTGCTTTTGCTCCCATTTTCTTTTGGCTCCATCGGGGATTGGGTTCCACAGTGGTGGGGTTCAAAGATTTCCACTTTAGGATATTTACGTTCATAGTGTGTGGAATACCCTCGGCGTTGTTGCTTATCCTGGTAGATTCCGGATACTATGGGTACATAACGATGGCGGACGTAGAGTCGCTACAGATATCTTGGGACAATTGGGTGGTAACACCGCTTAACTTCCTACGGTACAACTCTGATACCGGGAACCTGAAGAAGCACGGCCTGCACCCACGCTGGTTGCACGTGGTCGTCAACGTCCCGCTGCTGTTCAACGTGCTCGGAGTTCTGGCTACTATTATGCTATCTATCAATGCGTACAGGTAAGGAAGTCCTGACTTATCTTCACGCTCCATGAGAACCTAATATTTTTTACACAGGCATTTACCTACATAGCTTATCTATTGTTCTGGTACAAACCATAATATAAATATTAGGCCAGTGCTTGCTACGCCTATTTCCTACAATCAGTAGCAGTGACTGCGTTTGTGAATTAAGAGAATTTACTGTACCAACCTTCTGTTCTTTAAGAAGCAGCCTCAAAGGAAGTGGACGTGGCGAAGCCCCGATGCTATGACGAAAAACGAGATTGACTTTATTATGACGGACAAGAGACGAATATTTAGAGATGTCTCAGTGATCACAAGGTTTAATACCGGAAGTGATCACCGACTGGTACGAGGCACTCTAAATATCAAATACAAACTCGAACGTGTCCGTCTCATGAGGTCTACGCTGCGACCGAACTTGCTTCAAACCGTAGTTGGATCTGAAGCATTCCAATTAAAGCTGGAGAACCGGTTTGCTGCTTTGGAAACCACAAATGACGTTGATATTGACCAGAAACTTGAGCAAATAGTCGGGATCCTCCGGGATGAAGGAACAAAATTGTGCCGGACGCAGAATACCGGACGGAGGGCCAAACTTTCGGGAGAGTCTCTGCAGCTAATGGAGAGACGACGGGAAAACCAAACAGTCGCTTCGTTAGATCTTAACAAAAAGATTTCAAAACTGGTCAAACGCGACCTCCGATGCGCCAATACACGCGCAATAAAAGAAGCAATCGAGCAAAATAGGGGGTCCAAAGTCTTCATCCAGCAATTGGGTCGAAGTCATCTGACGAAGCTGACCACATCAAGTGGGAAAGTCGTTTCTTCTGGGCCGGAGATTCTCGCGGAGGTTCGGCACTTCTACGGTGAGTTGTACGCGTCAAAAGCACCCCGTCCTCATTCAGATTCGGGGGATCCCAGAGCCACACTTGTCCGCCACTTCACCGAAGAGTTGCCAGAGATCAGCCTAGGTGAGATCGCGGTGGCTTTGGGGCAGCTTAAAAATGGAAAAGCCCCCGGAGAGGATGGAATCACGACGGAGCTCCTTAAGGCAAGTGGAAAACCGGTGCTTGAGCGACTCCGACGTATGTTTGATTCCGTTCTCTTCTCGGGGAGAACTCCAAGGGCGTGGAGCAGGAGTGTTGTCGTTATGTTCTTTAAGAAAGGAGACAAAACCCTCTTGAAGAACTACCGACCTATTTCCCTTCTGAGCCATGTCTACAAGCTGTTTTCCAGAGTCATCACTAACCGTCTCGCCCGAAGACTCGATGAGTTTCAGCCCCTGAGCAGGCTGGGTTCCGAGGAGGATATGGCACCATAGACCACATACATACAATGAGGCAGATTATACAGAAGACTGAAGAGTATAATCTGCCCCTATGCCTAGCCTTTGTGGATTACGAGAAAGCCTTTGACTCTATTGAAACCTGGTCTGTTCTGGAGTCCTTGCAACGGTGCCAAGTCGATTGGCGATATGTCCAAGTGCTGAGAGATCTATACGATACTGCAACTATGGTCGTCCAAGTACAGAACCAGCAGTCTGAACCTGTCTATTTGCATCGGGGGGTAAGACAAGGCGATGTTATTTCTCCCAAATTATTTACCAATGCTTTGGAGGATATGTTCAAGACGCTGCACTGGAAGGGACGGGGCATAAATATAAACGGCAAGTATCTCTCACACTTGAGATGTGCAGATGACATCGTCATTGTGGCTGAAACCGTGCAAGACCTACAATGTATGCTGAACGGCCTGGCTGATTCTTCTGCTCGCATTGGACTCCGGATGAACCTAGACAAAACGAAGGTGATGTTCAATGAACATGTTCTTCCGGAGCCGATCACCCTGAATGGGTCTACTCTCGAGGTTGTTCAGGAGTATGTCTACCTAGGACAAACCCTACAGTTTGGTAGAAACAGCTTCGAGAGGGAGGCTCGTAGAAGGATACAGCTTGGCTGGGCGGCGTATAGGAAACTCTGTCGGGTCTTTTCGTCAACTCTACCGCAAAGCCTGAAGACGAAAGTCTTCAACGAGTGCGTCCTACCAGTCATGACATACGGAGCCGAGACGTGGACACTAACAGTGCGACTGGTCCACCAATTTAAGGTGGCGCAGCGAGCTATGGAGAGGGCTATGCTCGGAGTATCTCTGAAGGATAGGATCCGTAACGAGGTGATCCGACAGAGAACTAAAGTTACCGATGTAGCCCAAAGGATTAGCAAGCTGAAATGGCAGTGGGCCGGTCACATTTGTCGAAGAACCGATGACCGCTGGAGTAGACGTGTTCTAGAGTGGAGACCGCGTCTAGGCAAACGTAGTGTAGGGCGCCCTCCAGCTAGGTGGAGTGACGATATACGTAAAGTGGCTGGTAGTGGTTGGATGCGTAGAGCTGAAGATCGAGCTCAGTGGCGTGCCATTGGAGAGGCTTATGTCCAGCAGTGGACGAAAACAGGCTGTTGATGATGATGATGATGACTGTACCAACCTACACGCGTGACCATTTGTTTATTGCTAAGTACAATATTCAAATATTGCGATTATTTATATGGAATGGAGTGGCAATTATCAGTACTTAGTATATTACAACAACGTGAACCATGATGGGTTGTAAATCGTTGTACCTTAGATTAATAGGAATGCTCGACATCGATCATCGATAAATTAGTGGACATAATGTTTATCAGTACCTAGTCATATATTTATAAAGCGAAAGTTGTCAACAACACATTAGTTATTGGTGGTTTATTTTATGATACTATTGACTCTTGTTAATATAACTATGTGATATTATGTGATAATACTGTAGTGTGACTTACTTGATATTGACTAGAAATCCGCAAATTGTTCCAGATTCGTTCGCGGCCAATACAGCAAATTACCAAGAATCCAAAGTATCACTGGCCTAATGATGTTCTCTCTAGTCATACCTATTGGAGTGCTTTCTTATTTTCCACACCAAGAAGCTCGTTTCATCGTCCCGGTTCTAGTACCACTGATTTACCTGTTCGGCAACTACCTCTATTCTAACGACATCGAGGGAAGGTTTACTAGAAAGTGGAAATTCATATTCCGATACGTTTGGTATTTAATTAATATTTTACTTGCTATATTTTTCGGTTTCATCCATCAGGGAGGCATATATCCGTTAGCCAAAAGCATTCATCAAGATCTTAAGAGAACCAGCAACTATGGGCAACATACCTACGTTGTAACGACGCACAGTTACAGCATACCGACATATTTACTCCAATTGGAGAGCACCACCAAAGTGTACAAAGACAAGAAGACAGGACACAAGTACCGACTGTCGCCTACCACGTTCATACACAAGTACGGATCTATACCTGTAGAGGCATTATTTGATAAGGTGGATACCATGCTGACTAACGCCGAAAGACTGAAGGCCGAACACAATAAGAATTACAAGTTCAATATTGTCACTCCATGTTCTCTGGATATTCAAGTGAAGAAGACTGCAGCTAGATACAATTACTTCAAGTTAGACCAGGTGGCTTCTTACTTCCCACACTTTAGTTCTGAAGCGCTCCCTACGTTTCCTGGGATAAGACACGAATATTGTGCCAGAAATTCTAGCGTTCCACCTCACAAAATGATTCTCGCAGAAAGACTAGGATGTTATTTATCAATGTATTGTCTTAAACATTATCAGGTTAGGGTAATAGCAACAAAACTTTATTGAGATTGTGTACTCGTATGTATTTGGGCCAGTTTGCAATTCCACTAAGTTACGTTTTAAACAGGCCGCCTAATTTCATTGTGATTATTTTATTACAATTTGCTCAATTTATGTTTGTTGTCGCTGATAAGAAGTCATCTGTTTCAATTCTGATCTGATATTAGATTATAGTATTTTAATGTGTGTAACTTTAACCGCTAGATGAAAATAGGTCGTCTTTGTGTTAAGATTTTAGGCAGAAAAGAAAAAGAAAAAGGAGTTTGCTTTGGTAATGTTGCTATATATCCAAGTGATTTTCTTCTATAATTGTTTAACAATATAAAATGTAACTTTAAACACGTTTAGAGTTGGAAGATTCAAGTATTTATACTTGAATTGTGTTGTTGTTTTGATCACATAAGGACGCAGTTATAGGGTGAGTGTGTGTTAAACAAAATTTGACTTTATCTTCCTAGTAGGAAGAGTTATAATCGTATGTTATTGTTTCACAAACAAATTAATTGCCATGAAATTTTGAATCTCTTTGAATCTCTGCACATCTGTTGTTGTTTTAATTTGAATATTCACTTTGCCTGAAGGCATATAATACATATTTTTATTTTTCTCCAGTTTTATATACTGGATACAATTATGTATTAATTTAATTAAATACGTACGGGTTGTATATTTATTTTTGACGACAGCATAATTATAGGGTATTTGTTAGTTAATTTTGAATTATGAACTATTATTGTTGTTAAAATGAAATATTTTTATGATTTTATTTTATTTCGTGATTTGTTAATAATAATTAATAATAATAGTATTTGTATTATATAACTTTTGACTGAAAATAGCTGTTGGAGAGTGTAATTTAGAAATCTTTTGTATACTTTGGAACTTATTAATAAATAAAAGTCCGTTAGTCCAAAGTAACAACAGGTGAAATTACTAATAACCGGAACATTCCTGTTTTATTAAATATTGTTTTATTGATCCTCTAAAGTTATGGGATAAACGTACCTACCTATTATATTAATTTTATATCAGGTAACAGTATTAATTATGTGATTTAAACTTAAACTAAATAGATTGAAAGCAGAACATATAAGTTGCAATGCAATGGATCGTTTGCCTATAATTTTGCATTCATTTTCAGACTAATCACCAGTTTGAAATTAAATATTTACGGGTGAAAATCCTATGCTACTTAAGCTGTTTTATATTTAATAATACTTATTATATTCAACTCGATGTCTAGCATTTTTGTAGTATCAATAGTAGGAAATGACTAATATATAATTCTATTTTGATTGTATGAATTTTTTCTTTCCCAGTACATATTTAGGTATCTTTAAAAATTACTGAAACAATATACATTATTCGTAAACTCAATGCTTTTTACTATGTAAATCTATGGTATATCTAGTCTGTAGTTATTCTTAATAAAAACATTTATTACAATGAACGTATGTAGTTTCATTTGTTTGTCTACATACATTGATATTATATTAATGTCTACATAATGAAGACACTTTGTAGATGGTTCCCCCGATTTGCGTTGAGATACCAATCGATAAACACTAAACAGATTCAGAATGTCTGCATCTAGTTTTTTAAACTTACTGACATGAATTATAAAGTCTGTATGTCGTATATCAATGAACTCATTCGATTCGATGATATGTCTTTATTAATCGACTAGAGCTGGTGCACTTTCTAACCGTCAATGGGTACATCACTAATCACTAATATTATTAACTGTGTAAACTGTCAATACTGTCATTCATGACATTTATTTATTGAAAGGCAGGCATTGACTTGACAATCAAACCAAAATAAACTGAGAAACGTGCAATCTGATTTTTGTATATAATATTAGTATTATTAAGCTTTCTTATTCATAATGTCTTCTAACAACAAAGATCTGAAAACTTGCCTTGAAATGTCGCTCAAAGTTATACGAATGTATGATTGGCTTTTGGACTTGTATGTGTTGGTGAGTGCTTTCGCCTGCTTCAATCAGATAAACATAAAATATTGATTATCTCTTAAAATAAAAAATCAAGCGTTCACCGAAGAATTTATATTTTATTTCAGGACTTCTTTGTCGACGACCATTGGAATAAATTGCCGAGTACGTGGCGACATACTTTCGAACATATGGACCCACAACTTTTAGGGGACATTCTCTCAAAGAAACCATCAAACACGATGCTGCCACTGTCATTTCTGGCACTAATAAAGTCGATTGAAGCCCTTACTATTCCACGGGAGAGGCAGGATATAAATATAAATGAAAAAAAATCTACGAACTTGGATACTTGCAAACATCATCCGAGGCTTAAAAATCTGTTTTTGAAGCATGTGAAATTAAAGAAGAGACATGAGATAAGCCTTATGGCTGGTGTAGTTGTAGATACTGCTGTACAGACTGGTTGTAACTCTGTGATAGACTTTGGTTCAGGCCTGGGACACCTGGTGCGAGTTTTAGCATACAGAGATGATTTGCATGCAGCCGGGATCGAGTGCCAGGCACAACTCACAGAGGAGGCGAGGTCTGTACTTTTGGTATGTATGAACAAGTTAACTATTCATTAAGAAAGTTAAATGTAATTTCTGTCCAATACAATACTTATTATAAAATAAGAATTTAACTAAATATTTATAAACTTCTCTATTCAACTGTGCCCAAATAAATTTAAAAATAAAAATAACCTTTTTTATTTTTTAGAAAACTTGACTTGGAATTAGAGTACACAGCCAAGAAGCACCTATCAAGCGAGTCTGTAAGCAGACTGAAGCGCCCTCTACACTTTAATATGACATTGTCAACTCACAAACAGCTGATGGGACTTTCTTTACCAGATTATATGGCAAACTATGGACTTATAGGCTTGCATCCATGCGGGGACTTAGGTCCTTTATTACTGAAACAGTTTGTTGAATGCGAGAACATAAAGTTTATATGTGTAGTCGGCTGTTGTTTTATGAAGCTGTCCTGTGATGGTGTTAACCGAGGGTATCCGATGAGTGACTTTGTAAAGAGGTTGGATAGTCATCTGTCATTCGCCAGTAGGGAGATAGCCTGTCATGCGATTGAGGTGTACTGTGAGAGGCTTTGCAAGGGCAATTATGAGGATTTGAAGGTAATATATTTTATTTGTATATAATATTATAGAATATATGTTGTTTTTTACTTACTATGTATTAGAAGTACCATTCACATTTGACCAATAACACTGGCCGCCATTCAAATGTTAATACTCCAACCAATACTTCTCAGCAATTCTTTGATTTACTCGAGAATCAAACGCCTCTTAGACTTACACCTCTCAACCACTGAGTGAATAGATTATTGTAAGCTAAGTATTTTTCATAAGGGTCACACAATAAATAGAAATTGCATAATGCATACCTATTTATTTATTAATGAAATGAAATAATATTGTACTTACAGATACATGCATACAGGGCTGCTCTGGAAAGGATGCTGGTGGAACATGATCCGAAACTGCGCCACGCACCAGTGCGGAGCATCAAACATTCAAACACCATGTCTTTTGAACAGTGAGTAAGAGAATTCTTAATAGTATGGAGAACCTTCCGATCATAAGATCATTTTTTATTGTTTTTACATAAGAAATATGAAGAAATATGAAGTCACCCTATATATAATAATATACTGTGCCTTTCATTAGATTAACAATAATTTAATGGGAACTAAGATATTGGTAATTTAATCCTTACTAATCCTTATCCTTACTAATATTATAAGTCGGAAAGTGACTTAGATATAGTTCGTAGGACGAGAAAGATACGTATCTCTCTTTTCATCTTATTGAACTATTATTCGCAACTCTAGTATGTTGTAGTTGCTGTGAAATGGGAGCATGTAAACATCTAAATATAACATTTATCCTAAATACACAATCTGTATGTCGGCTATATACAAGTATACGGAGTGATGTAGGCGTACTGCTACATTGATAAATCTGTACAGATTAAAAGGCGTATCAGGGTTTACACATTTTTATATTTTTCATGTAGCTAAATTCTACATTTATTTTATCACATCCTTACTAATATTAATATTATAAATCGGAAAGTGAGTTTGTTTGTTCCGACTTCACGCCGTAACTACTAAACCGATTGTATTGAATTTTTGCAGACGTAAAGTTAGTAGTCTGGATTAAATAATAGGGTACTTTTTATCCCGAAAAAATTTGATATACCCGAGGGAAAACAAAAGTATTGGTATAGATGGCGCTGTATGTAATGGTATGTGTCATATAGGCTACTTTTTATCCTTTTGGGACGCGAGCGAAGCCGCGGGTAAAAGCTAGTGAATTAATAATTTTACCCTACATACAGCGCTAGGAACATGAACTCTATATACACTTACTCTTTCCTGGCTGGAAGGTACACAGTGTATTGAGTTCTGTAGAATATGGATATGATTAAACCTTAACAGCGCAACTTTATGCATGTACTTTAAATTTTATTTAACAATGGGGATGATGACAGGGTATGAAAATTAAAAATATAATTAGTCCGTAAGTTAGGTAATGAAAAAATATTAGACACGTATTTTTTACCCGACTGCCAAAGAAGGAGGGTAATGTTTTTCGAGTGTATGTAAGTATGTATGTATGTCTTTTCCTTTGTGACCACCTGTAGCCTAAACGGCTTGATGGATTTTGATGTATGAGGTATCGTTAGATTTGTCTTGATTACGGGAGTGTCATAGGATACATTTTATCCTAAAAGTCCCACGGGATAAAGACATAATAATATTTTTTCTAAATTTCCCTTTAAAAAAATATGTATGCGGTATCATTAGATTCATTTCAATCACGGGAGTAATTAATATAGGATACGTTTTTTCTCAAAATTCCCACGGGAACATGTTAATTCTGCGTCAACGCAAAGCAACTCATGCGTTAGCAAGCAAAAAGATAGGGCGTGGCCTGGCATGCGGCGCGCGGCGCGGTGCGGAGGGGGATATGCTCGAGTATACAGCCCGATTGCGGGCACACGCATGAGGGCACACGTCGTTGACGATAGTCTTCTACATCTACAACATTTTCGTTAAATAAAAACAGCTAAAAAGTTATAAATAAAAAAATTATTATTAAAAAAACAAAATACCCGACTGCACACTAAAAAAAGAGTAAAACAAGCCCCACAATAATATTGATCAATCAAATGCTAAAAACTAATTATGTAATACCGTTTAAACAATACCTATATTAAAATACACTACAATATGTGTTCGTAATCGATAGTTAAATAAACAGAAACTTATTTTGAATACAAATTTACTGAATATAATTTATAAATGTTGATGGAAAGCATCGCAGGCGGGGACCACCTTGACCGCCACCAACGAAAATTCTGCTAAATGGTGCACAACCGAAATGACTATAAATAAGCCTCTGTTGGTCCCCGCCTGCGATGCTTTCCATCAACATTTATAAATTATATTCAGTAAATTTGTATTCAAAATAAGTTTCTGTTTATTTAACTATCGATTACGAACACATATTGTAGTGTATTTTAATATAGGTATTGTTTAAACGGTATTACATAATTAGTTTTTAGCATTTGATTGTTTATTTTGTCGTATAATAAAACAATACTTAGATAAAACGAATCAAAGTTTAGGAGTGGGGGTTAAAACGTCATTTCTTAGTATAAAATGTACTGAGAAGTGACGTCACGTGACATTTCAAATCAATATATCTTCGAAACTATACGTTTCTGTGAGAAAAGAAAAAATACGTGTCTAATGTTTTTAAATAATCTACCAGACGGACATTAAAATAAAAATTAGTCGTCTATCCTATTAAGTTATGTTTTAAAATTGTGTTCTGGCTTCGCATCAACCGCTTCATTTCTTTGCACTTCCCTATGATTGCCTGTCAGAAAATGCCTTCTTGGCATTAAGTCCGCCATTCACTGCAATTTTGTTTTCTGAAGAAGGTATTAATACATTAACCGATATTTTTAGGACTAGCATCAATAATATATGTTTTATCAGGTACTGCTCTCAAGCAACAGAGCGCCTCAACATCTCCCTGCCAACATCCACAGTGGCCTGGTCCCGCGGCCTGGCGGACCTGGCGCAGTGGCGACGTGTGGTAGTCGTCTACACACTGCGGTTAGCTTTGGCACCGCTTGTAGAAACCGTGGTGTTGCTAGATAGAGTACTTTTTGTACTTGAGCAAGGTTTGTTTGTAATTTTTTTTAAAGAGCCTAGTTATTATTTATTCTGTTTTTAAGTCCATATTATTATAATTATCTTCAGTTATCTAACTAAACTACAATGTGCAATCCAATGGGGGCTATGGGGGGCGCTAATCTACCTCTAGCAAGAGATCAGTTTGTCTAATCACTGCAACTGTCAACATTTTATGTCCAATGGTAGAAGACTAGTTAATTTTATATTGGAAAACAAGATGAAGGGTCCTTACTGGTGCCATATTTTATATGATAAGCAAAAACTGGTGGACTGTCGTAAATTGTTGATAAATACAAATAACATTTATTTTATTTCTCTCATCATCATTTACATAATAAAATACAGCAAACGTTTTACAATTAAACCTGAGCCTGTTGTGGGTGAAACCTGCATCACAGATCACCAGGACCTCCAAATATATCTAGAGGAACTATAAAATATTGTAGAAATAAAACGAAACATCACTTAACTACATAATTTTATTGTGGAGACAAAAATACACTTATTTTGACACTGAATTACTTTACACATCATACATTTTGTATGTACACACACTTTTAAATTACTTAAACAACACAACGCAACGAAAGCGACTATTTATATCTAAACTTAGTATCTAAGATACAATTTGGCACTTTATATTACTAGTAGTATTTGTACAAGATGTGCAAGGAATATTGGTACTTAAGACTTTAGTAGGAAGGTGGTTTTTGATTTAAATTAATATACTAGAATATAGTATAAGCTAATAATGATATTGAATATGTTACAATGGTTGAAAAGCTTTGAGCTTAAGTACTATCGGCAAAGTTTATGGTAGTAGACTTTTTAAACAAAATAATGTGGCAAAATTGCTATCTACATAATGATAGTCAACTTTGTAGATTGTACCTTATTAAGTACTGCTAATGTTGTATAATGTACTGGTAAACTCAAAGTTTACCTTCATTATGCTTGTAATAATTGTCTAAATCATATTTTAAATACATTAGGCTCAAAATTATTCAACGTCCTAGTATTTATAGGTGGGCGCAAACAAACCTAGACTTTATGACTCAACAAATAAGTTGCAATATACCTAAAGCAAATATTCACTGCTGAGCTGGTTACCAATGAATATTTGCCATTTTTTTACTAAATTAACAGTATATGCAAGTTAGGCACGCAAGATTTTATAATTATTTTACATCTAGCCTATATTAGTCGGAAACTTATTCTCTTAGATAAAGTGGAAAATAATAGATAGAATATGCATGTGAATGAGAAACAAAAACTAAAAATAAAAATCTACCGACCCGGGAATCGAACCCGAGACCCTTTTTCATTTGTCGTATTTGTCCAGTCGATCAACGAGACAGTCTGATATTTAAAATTGTAAAATGCATCTGTTTTAGATTTCATTATTATTGTATCGTATTTTATAAAATACATAAATTATTTTTTATTGTTTCAGGTCTTTCTTGCGAAATAAGGCCCGTGTTCGACCCGAAGCTATCACCTAGAAATCATATAATAATAGCTAAAAGATATTGTTAACATGACATTTTAAACTCAAACATATAGTACCATAAGGTGCTTATTTGCGAAACATATGTTTGTGTAATTTAATGCTTGTAAGAACGAATTTGTTATTTATAACAAATAAATCAGTACAGATATCTATTTGTATTTTCATTCAACTGAATAGCACTATACCAAGTAATTTTACGGCACTTTCAATCTATAAACTTACACTATAATTATATTTTTCTTAAATTACGTAGTCCTTAATGCCATGCAATATTTAATCATTCAGCCCTGGACATCTAGGAATTTATAGCACACTGAAAAAATGCAAATTATTACAACTTTTTACTGAATTCAAAGGTGACTCCTTGTGAATAGTAGATAGCAATATTCCAATATTCGTAATTTGTGACTTTGAATAATTACGAATGCGCTTTTTTATTTAAATTATAAGTTCGTTCCACATACCTATGTAAATTGCAATTCATTTCTATTCAAATAATTTCGTATCACCTTTTGTCCCATTAAATCCAGAGCTGTCAAAGCGACAATACTTTGCATACATTCACTATTTTATACACTGTTATTAAAGACCATAAGACCATAGGCATTAGTAGTAGTCTGCAAGGAGCCATAGAGGACTCAGAGGCGCCTTCGTACGAGTTTCTTTTATGTTTAAAGTAATCGAAACGAGTACGTGTTCGGCGCTCTGATTGGTTGGTTCATTGGAGCCGGCCAATCAGAGCGTCGAACGCGTACTCGTTTCGATTAAAACTCGTACTAAGGCGTCAAAACACGTGCATACCTTTCCCACAAAATGAAGGAGTGTATAGTTTAGGACTGTATAGTCTAGGAGTGTATAGTCTAGGATTCTTCCTGGTCAACTTGAAATTTGTAATCTTATACTTTTTTTAAACTCGTTTATCTCTGGAAGTAGGTACTGGTTCGAATTGATTTTTTTATGTGATATAGTCCCATTATCGAGAAAGGCTATAAAACATGAAGCTTCGATAAATTGGAGACGAACAGTGCGGGTGAAAGTGTACGTGAGTCTCATAATTTAGAAGTCGTACAAATATTTCGTTACCCACTGCATAACATCTTCGATTGGTAATTAATCCCCATCAAGTTTAAGACTAATATATTTTTAATGGGGTGTGCAAGTGTACCCATTGCAGCCTACTACCGGTACCATAGTACCATGTAATGTATAAGTGCATACCTATACATAGATACTTGGTTGTTACCTACATATATCTATAATTATAACTTACTATGATTCAATCACTCGAAGCTCATTATTTATTCTAGTGATAATAATTGTACGACGGTGCGTTTTGACATTCACATTAATTTAATTTACGATTATACAGGTAGGTACCCTAACGAACAAGGGTGATATCAAACGATTACTGTGCACGAATTACAAAATGAGCTGTTCTTTTTAATATTATACAAAATGCATGCTACAGTAGTTAACATAAAGTTCATTTTGCTTTGCAATAGGAATATCAGAATCTGTACAAATATTTACCTACTTACACCTTATTTGGCGCTGACGAATAATTTATAGATATTTTAGATCACTCTTTGAAGAGCTATTTTATCTTATTTAAATGTTTGTGCACGTCAAAATCGTTACAAATTATTAAAGCCCATGTCCTTCACACAGAAGAATGAAACAAAGACTTGTTTATATTTACATAGTAATTATTTGTTGCATATTTCATGCAACTCAATATATTACACAGATATGCACTGAATTTACCTTGGCACAAAAAACGCTAGAGTAAATAAATAATTGAAAAAAAGGCATTTAGACGTCCACAAACATTGGGTCCAATGTTCGAGCTGGGTTCACATGTGGCATTGGTTGGCGTGTTGGTATGGGCATCATGCGTTGGCGGGCAATGTTTGTGGCAACATTGGCGCGGGCTCCTCGTCCGAGTCGTCAGAATGTACCCGCGTGAACCGCCGCCGCTCCAGAAGGCGACGCAGCTTGAACTCACCGTGTCCATACTCCCAACGACGACGGGTCACACCTTTCCGACCTATGCAATCACTGGTTGACTTAACTCTGCAGTCTGCACTAATTATATATTGAAGCTATATTTAAATTATCCAAATTTCATACTTTTTTAGTGAAGATTGATGAGCGTAATCGTATAGATAACTCACAAAGACAAATTATTATTTTCTAAGGCATAACTTGGGTAATAAAGTACCTACGCTTAATTTTTATTACTATTTAAAAAAGTTCTATCTACGATGTTGATGAATATCCCCGTATTTGGTGTTATCAGGACATTACTTGTGCTTTGAACCAGTGAATGAGATACTGAAGGCGAACTAAAAAGGTGTGTGGCATGCTTGGTGCATAAATAAAAATACAAAAAGCTGCTTCCAATAAATATATTTAAACAACTATGTTACTGCACATCACAACTGTTCACAATCACAATATTTGAAAGCGCAAATAATAAATTAAAGTGGTTTTGTGTAAAAAGAAATAACAGCACGGAATAATGTGACAAACGGACTAGTGTATCGATTTATTTATGTATTGTGCCTCGCTTCAGCAAAATAAATGTCTTCGACGCGACGATAATCTGTGCTTTGCGATAATTTGTGTAAATTAGTTACTTCGTTTACATAATCTAATTTCACTTTGCAATTTACCGAGGCGAAGCACATAACATTACTCTTACTACCGCCAACAAAATCAACATAAAACATACTCGTTTACATAAAACTAAACAGGTATGATATCTAATTTATATTTCATATACCTAATATTTCGTTGGCGTTCATAAGCTTCTAGAATAAACCCAAATGATGTGATAAAATGATGCAAAATAGTTAAGTATACAATTTAAACATGTCTCAAACATTAATTGTACACATGCAACTTTCCAGGAACTATTTTACACCAATAATAATATATTTTGACACTACATTACAGATAACCTTTCGGATAAACTTTTATACAAAACAAAAATACAAAGAAAAAAAACAAAGATCTCAATTTTATTCGAGCTACGGAGAAACCAATGTAAAAACAACCCACATTTTGAATAAAAGATCCATAAAAATATAGCATTAGACAAAGTTACTAATTGCTATGGACAAGTGTTAATAAATAGGAACTTAAATCACATTCAAAATTATGATAATAATTTTATGTACAGTGACCAGCAGATGAATCTTCTCCAATTTGTCAAATCCAATCAGGATTTTCAACTTTATGACAATATAGTAAAGTTAAAGATGTAATAGATATATGTATTTGACAGACAAGGATAACTTGACGTACTGGTCACTGTACTTAGAACCTTTTTAAATTCGATAAAGGAAAGACTTCGTCTGTGACAGACTTGTAGAGACATAAAAATAATCTGTCTATTCGCATAAATATTATGTTCTCCGAAATATACCTATAAGATCATTAATTTCCTTGTCTAATGTTATGATAAAAAATTGAAGTAAATGTGCTATGGACAAATAGCTATTTAATAGGTTTACAACCCCTTTAAAATAGCATAATTATTACATCTACTTTTAGCTTATAAATACATAAATTATTTGTTAAACAACAGATCTTTGAAGAATTAAAGTTTAAAACATTAATATTTATAACCATTAGGGTTATAATAATTAAAACTATATACTTAAAAATATTATGCTTAAGCCCCTTTAACTTGCGTCAATCACAGACAATAAAAATTGTAAAATATTTATATATTTTATCTGTATTTCAATTTCATTAATGGAGAATCTTCCAGAACTGATTAAGACAACATTTTTCATGTATGTAAAACTAATACTGTTAAACAAAGTTTATGTCCAAGTTTAAAACCATATATATTAATAATTTCCACTTAGCTTTACACCTAGAAAATTCTTCAATAATAAAAATTATGAATATAAATGCATACAATTAAGTAACTTGTTTCCATATTTTGCAAATTTAAAAAAAAAACATTCATCCATTTTCAAATACATGCATAGGTTCATATAAATTTATAAAAAACTATCTTTTTACATAAAAAATATGTACTTAGATCAGATATTACTGTAAAAAAATAAATAAAAGCGATGTGTATTTATTTGTAGTCTGTGGTAATCTTGGTAAGTACCTATTTTGTACCTACAATGAAATGTTTTAAACTGATATTTGACATATTGTGTATTATGTATGAAATATGTAGACGGTATATAGTCTGTGTGTGTATATTGTATATACCCAGTTCATACATAAACACGTACGGTACCTGCATATATAAGGAATGTAGTATATAATGTCAATACATATATCAATATGTATATAAATAAATAACGTAATTAATACTTGTATAGTTATAATTAAAGCTAGATCATTTGTGACATATTACAATACAATATTTAATAAATTAGATCCTTGTTATAGTGTTTGTAACTCACTCCAGAGGCCATTAGAATTAATAAGAACTTTAGTATCTTGTGATAAAATTCAATTTCATTTAATTACAAGGTTATTTTTATCGGTCCATATTGTATCAAATATAAATAAAGCAAAATGTATTTTTCGCTGTCGTAATATTAGTCGAAAATCTGAAAAATCGACAATATTCGTCAAGGGCTCATTTGATGCTTTCAGCCGTTCAGGTACGTACATTGCCCCTGAATCTACTCAAAACCCAGTGCCAATCCCAAAACGAATGAAATTGTCACTAAGATCGCCAGTATAGTATAGTGCAAGGTCTATTGTCTATAATATTCATTATATTATAATACACAATAGACTTATTTGCTAATGGCCAGTCATTGGTCTTAACATTTTTGACAGCGACTGTGATTGGCCGAACTGGACATGTGCGTTAATAACGCCATCTAGTGAGCAAGAATGGTAGATTTCATTGGGAAAAGACCAGGTAATAGATTAAAGGGTATTTGTCGAGTGTAGGGAAAGTAGTGTCGTATGGTGTAGTGTCGTGTGTTCAGTGCACGAGTGGCTCGGCCTCGTATCCCTTACCCGTGTTCCTGGCGCGCAGCAGGGCGAGCGCGGCGAGTGCGAGCAGCGCGGCGGCGGCGGCGCCCCCCGCGCCCCCGAGCGCGCCGCTCCACCACTCCCACGCGCCCCCGCCCGCCCCCACGCTGCCCACTACCTCTGCACACCCACGCCGAGCTTATTAGTTACCATCTTGCAAGATACAAATCCCATCCGGTTCAAAAAAGACTTCATTGTAGCCAAAATTTATAATTCAAATTAAATAACTAGATTAACTAAAAATCGCGGTTTAATCAAATGAAAATACTGAGAAAAGCTCCTACCTAGAACCCCTCTTTAGTTCGAAACTAGTAGAGCTTTTATTATGTTTTTATGTATTGAGTATTTTAAGTTAATTTAAATCGAATAATCGATTTCAATTCAAAATCTATGGATTATTAATTTCGGCTGTGAAGCCAACCATATCTGAAGGCATACCTAATAACAAAAAATACTAGGCAAGGAAATGAGAATGTGATTGATGATATTAAAATACAACTAAATGTGCGTGACTGTGATTTTATGCCTATAAGTATGTGGAATGGAGAAAACACGTGTCTAATATTTTTTACTATTCCATCGGATGTACAGATATCATTTATGATCATCATCATCCCCAAAAATAATGAATTTTTTGAAGATATTGTCAAAACAGGGTACTTCTATATTTCATCATTCGTAAATCGGACGGGATTTGTTAAAATATCATATTTTAATGTAAAAGTTAGCGTCATAAAATTCAATAATAAGTTAGTACATTCATGTAAATCGAATGAAAGAGATGAAATGACAAGCGAAAGAGATAGCGATACACTAGTAAAATTTATTTCAAATAGCATAAGCATTGACGTTTACCATAAAAAAAAAACAAGAAAATAAAGCAACAATAACATACAGAAAGATAGTCAAAACAGACTCAATTACAAGTAATTATGATATATTATTGTTTGGCAAATCTTGTTGCTTTCGTTAAAATAATCATAGTAATTAGTAGCTACCTTTATGACATCTGAATACACAATTACTTTGGCACTTATGAAAGTATGGCACCTCTTTTAAAGGGGTGTCCATAAATTACGTGAGATTTTAAGGAGGGGGAGGGGGTAGACTTAAATCTCATATAATCTTACGTTGGAGAGAGGGGGGGTCTCGGCAAATATCACGTAATTTTTTCTGATAAAAACAAAAAAAAATCTATTTTAGTTCATTTATTCCAGATTGTACATGCTTAAGATTTAATTCTACATGCACATGGATTTTTTTTCTTCTTGCAATAACAATCCAATGCGTTTACGTGAAAAACTAACATTTTGAAAAATCTTACGTGAGATTGGGGGATGGGGGAGGGTGTTGAATAAAATCACACGAAATCTCACCAAAGGGGGGTTTTAAAAAAATCCAATTAAAAAAGCACCTCACGTAATTTATGGACGCCCCCTAAGACCATAAGCAACCAAATAATACAACAACAATGAAATTAAGCATCGACATAGAACAGAAATTAACACATTGCATTCCGTGTCAGACAATGATAATCGACGCCAGCATTGTCGGCAGTTAGAGGCATAAACATCCTTTGTAAACTTGTATCACATCATTGAACAACTAATAAAACATTTATATGAATTTTTATTTTGAATTACAATTTTCAGATGCCTAATTTCATTGTCCGCCAATAGATAACGAAAAAAAAATGAAAAAGAAAAAAAAATATACCTAAACCTTATCGAAGCATAAAACAAAGCAAGCATAAGCGGAATAAGAAGTAAAGGCAACGTTACACATGCCCATTTCAAGTACTATTGAGTACTTGACAATAGCATGCGTGTCGTAATGTTTGTCAAAATTAGCATGGTCATTTCAGCCAATCGACAAGCGTTCGATTTTTGAACATTTTTGTTTTTTTTTTCTATTTTGGATAGGACCACTGTTAGTTCAGCACGTTAAGGCTGTTGACTATTTAACCGGCCATGAACATTTATGAGTATGCTCAATATAATATCTTTTAGCATACTATTTCAGAGCATGTGTAACAGTACTTTCAATATTTACTATTCCTTACCGACAGTAGCAGTGGGTTTCACATGCGATGACGTCACATTCTTCTCCAACCGACTTTCATTTTTTAATGCTTCATCCACAAACTTATACACTCTGAAGGGATTTAATTCTGCTACGTAGACCTTTGAGCCGTCCGCTGAGACAACGACGTCGTGTGGGTTTCTCAAACCCTCGTCAGGAGCAAAAGTTTGTATGAGACGGCCGGTGGAGAAGTCGATCACGAAGCCTCGAACTGGCACTGGCGTTGGTAAGCTGTTTGGTCCGTTCACTATGTAGAGGCGACCACCTGTGGATATTTGATTGGTTATTACGTATTTTAGAAAAATAAAATGGAATAATTTTATTTATTATCTTAATATCAATTGTTTATTACTGTTAATGTAATTGTTTATTCGCAGTTTGACCTGTATGTATGTTCCAAATTATCTCGTGAATGGCTGAACCAATTTAAATGCGGTTTTCAGAAAAGCGTTTGTTATACTTAAGAAAAGGTTTTAGTATATTAATTAACCGACTTCAAAAAAGAGGGGGTGGATGTCGCCTTTTTAAACGTTATAAAAAAGAATTAGTAAGCAATCAGGTATGCATTGCATGGTACCCTTTAAGAAAATACTATTCAAGATGATTGTAGAAGGTACCATTCCATTGAATGCTCTTGCTCTTATCTGCATTAATTTCCATTCACCGTCAATCCTTTCCCAAGTCCTCAAAAATAAGTCTATAGTCCCTTACCATGAACTGGAGCATAAGCGACGCTGAACAGTCGTCCACCCATCAGCCAGCTGCTGAAGCTGCCCTCATAGGTTCCATTATCATGTCGGAAGCAGGCCACCCTGCCTCGCTCCCTGTCCGCTACACAGACCAAGCCGCGGTCCTCTGCTAGCGTAAGCGCGTGAGGCACGTTGAACGCAAACGGAGAGTTGCCGTGACCTAGAATACATACAAAGTATTGCTGGGTTTAAAAAAATTCTCAGTAGTAGTCAGGAATCGTGCCCGGTATATGGCAATAGGCTCGCCCCATTACATGGGACTCAACAAGAATAGCGAAAAGTGGGTTACATTACATTGTACAGTGGCATTAAGTAAGTGCCGTAATGTGCATCTCTGCCTTCCCCTTAGGGGATAAAAGGCGTGATGTTATGTTATGGTCAAACTAGGTATTGTTACTGTAAAATACGTATGTCGTAAATGTGACAAGTCATTAGGGGATGAGAGGGTAACTTTTATTTTTATTTGATGAGTGCCGTTTGGCCGCTTACCACCAGGCGAGATCGCCTGGTGGTATGCGATGATGCAGCCTTAGATGGAGCACGTCTGCCCATAAGCAACCTATTTACTCGGGCCTTGAAGACACTCAGGCTACACTCCTCATAACTCAGGAAACATCAACACGTACGATTATGGAAAGGACAAGGAATATGAGACAAAGGGTTTATGGGTAAAACCTAGCTTATGACCTTCTTAATCTCTAAAAACATTGTGTCGTCCATACCACTAACACCCAGGATCCATGTATAGAGCCAGGGCTGAAAGACTAAAAAAAAGATATTGATGATATTCTTACTTATCCCCCACTGTAGAATGATAGTGCCATCTGGGGAAAACTTGAGGATCCTGTGGTTGCAGTATCCATCCGCCACGAAGAAGTCACCATTGGCTAGAACGGCAACTGCACTCGGCTTGCAGAAATGCTTGTCGTCGTTGCCCGGTATAAACCTGTTATTAGAAGACAACAGTACAAAATTAATAAAGAGAAAATTATGCTAACTGAAAACCAATTCTCTAAAATGTTGTCAAAAAGTCAAAAGTCAAAAATCATTTATTTCAATTAGACCAGGAAGGCACTTTTGAACGTCAGCAATAGAAATTTAAAAGTGAAGCTATTTGCTCATTCCAAGGTGTAGATTCCTATGGAGAAGAACGAGCAAGAAACTCCATAGGTTACTCTTTTCCAATCAGTTTCACAATACAATTCTTCAGTTACACTTCAGTTGAATAGTAACTACATGGAAGATAATAATGGGGATATTAATGGTCGAATATACAAACGCCACTTAATTAAGGCGCTCTCAATAATAGTTCCTGCCACTACGAATTCTTTGCAAAGTGATTTTTTCTTTTTTTTTTAAGGGGAACATCATCGAATGGCTTCTCCCGAAAATGACAGAGGATAACACGATATTTTAGTACAATGTGAAATTGAGTAGCATTTCAGTATTCGGGACTTTATATATATAGTAGATTTTAACTTGCGTTGTGAAAGTACCTCAAGTGCCTTTAGACTCATCTCGGAACATAAAAACAGAATCGAGCCCTCAGATAAACTCTAATTTTGAAATCTAGTAGTTAAAACAATCTTGTTTGGTGCTCAGAAATATGGTAAAACGCCCCCCCGCTATTACATCGGACTCATAACATAAATAGTAAAAAGTGGGTGTTACATTGTACAGTGGTATAATGTGCACCTCTGCCTACCCCTTCGGGGGTTAAAGGCGTGATGTTATGTTATGTTGAACTCCGAATTCCATTGCTGTATTTTTTTATTCATTTATTTATCCCAATGTCGTGGTGGCCCGGAGGTTTAAGACGCCCGCTTCTCATGCATGAGGGTACGGGTTTTAAACCTACCAACAGCATGTACCGATGTGACTTTTTCCGAGTTATATGTACTTTCTAAGATTATTCAGACACCACTGACAAGCGGTAAAGGAAAACATCGTGAGGAAACCTGGGCTTATAATTTCTAATTATAACTTTGTAATCGCCAACCCGCATTGAGCAAGCGTGGTGATTATTGCTCAAACCTTCTCCGTGTAAGAAGAGGCTTTGCTCAGCAGTTGATGAATTTATCCCATCCAAAACGATTGTGGGCGATGAACTTCATCGCTAAAGTTGTGTAAACAATGTATTACAGCTTACAGCATATCGACAAAAATAAGATTATTTATTCTACATCCATAATAACAAGAGTTTCTTTTCTTTGTAAATCACGTAACACAATACAAAATCAATAGCATTGTTTTGATTTGGTCCTGTAGCTAACTGTAAACAAAGACAATTATAACCGACAGTGATATGATGTAGATATCTCATCCTAAAGGCAAATAAAACAAAAGTTACAATAATACATTTCAATGCTGAATTAAGCCAGTTGTTATTATTTGTTGTTCAGAATGTTGTCTAAATAAAAAGTAAAGATTATAACGGATACAAATATCTCAAAATACTTTGAAATTATGAAACATTTCACTCTAGTGTGTATATGTAGTATTTTTTTTAAGGGGGGAAGCATCGAATGACTGCTCCCGCCTGGGTGAGGCGGGAGGAAGTGTCAGACTCTTACTGACTAAAATCCACGCCTTTCCTTCTCCTGCACGTCGAGCCGGAGCCCCGGTAACCCGTTAGGTTCTCCACGACGTGTATATGTAGTATAGGTTTATTTTATTTATTTATTTATTTATAATCACGACAGTGTACACATTGAGTTTATAACCTTTTCCCACAAAACCGGTTTAGCGGTTTGACTGTGGGTGGTGAGCCGCATTGCTTTACATACACTTATATGTTGTATAAACTACTAATAACATTATAACTATTCAAGTATTTTACAGAAGTATTAGGTTCTTTTAGTATTTCTTTATATCTGCCAAGGTTTTTTAGTGTATGTCAAATCTTTTGGATTATGTAAACAGAATTAATGCCATCTATATTACAGATAAATAAAATTGGAGTGTCTGTTTGTAATATTAAAATAACCGCTTTTTACTACATGCATATACGATACACATACCAAAATATTTTTTTCTCAATTTTTGTATTTCTATCTGTTTGTACTGGCTTATCTCTGGAATAGCTGGACCGATTTTGACGGGACTTTTATTAGCAAGTAGCTGATGTAGTAAGGAGTAACATAGGCTACATTTGTTTTAGAAAATTGGATCAAAAAAATAGATGTCATGAAATTCGTATTCTACACGGATGAAGTAGTAGGTAACAGTTAATACAAAATAAATTAAGAAAATAATTTTCTTGCTGGTAATGGGCAAGTAACTAATTAACTACGGATATACACTACGGATGCAAATCTAACAGTATTAATTTTACCCAATTATCATAATTATTTCATAAAAATACAAACAAACTTACTTCTCTCCTAGCGTCATGTTTGGCTTAACTTTATCATCTGGTGTGAACTTGAAGACTTGATGCATAGCCACATCAGTTACCCACACATTGCCTTCATTGTCCACTGTGATACCATGCGGGATGTAGAACCTAAACAAAAGTGTACTTTATAAATGTTTTTGATAAATTACATATTTTTGATTTGGCTGAATTAAGTTAAGCTAAGTTAATAATACGCCAGACAATCCACAAACAGGAAGAGATGGCGGGAGATCGTGAGACAAACAGTATCCGCCTCCAACACAAATAAGGTCGCTTCAACATAATCACAATCGCTCTGCCAAGAGAGAAAGACAGAGACGAAGAATTAATAATGTCATTAATTTAATATTACTACTATACAAAATTTTGAAGAGCATTTTATACACATAAAAGTTACAGACTGCCTCGTTGGCCGAGTGGTCGCAAGTGCGACTGCCGGGCATGAGGTCTCGGGTTCGATTCCCGGGTCGGGCAAAGTATTACTGGGTTTTTAAAAAAATCTCAGTAGTAGCACGGAGTCTGGAATTGTGCCCGGTATATGACAATAGGCTCACCCCCTATTACATGGGACTCATAACATAAATAGTGAAAAGTGGGTGTAACTTCTGTGTGCAGTTCTGTCTACCCCTTTAGGGGTAAAAGGCGTGATGTTATGTTATGTTAAGTTACAGAAATAATGTAATAATATCTACTAACCTGTTTGCCCACTTATTTGTATTCATCTAAAATATTAGTTAAACAAAATCATTGAATTTGGAAGTTTTATTACTCACAGATTTTGTCCCCACATATCGACAAGCTCTCCAGTGTCATTGAGCACCAAGATAGTTGGTTCAGGTATAGCGTTCTCACCAATACCCTGATACACATCCCTATTGTTGAAAGTAGTTGCATCCCAAACATTGTGGGACCGGTGGAATACCAGCACCTGGCCAGAGTTGTCTATAGCTACTCCTGACACCTGACCCATTCTAATAGATGGGTCTGGCCAATCACTCACCCATTGTGGGGCTAGAGAGAAAAACAAATTATGATTTAATATTATTGGTGTTAATCAGATAGATTAGCGAGTTAATCAAACAGACCTTCTTTATTATAAGACTTTTATCTTACACAAGAAAAATATTTACATATCTATGTAGTGTTAAAGAAATTACTAAATACGTATTGCGTTTGGGAAATACCCAAGTCTTAAGAACGAGCGCAAAGGATTTTCGTAATTCGCATGCCAAATCTGAATCTGTATCTTCTCCAATTGTGAATAATTAATTACGTAGAAATCGTGTCAAATATAATAACTTGATTATCGTAGTTAATTTTCATATCGCAAGGGTAAATACATACTGTGTTCCAGCTTTGTAAGCGCAGTTTTTATTTTCTCGTATTGAACTTGCTGGCTGTCGTAGTAACCGGCTGGATAATATCCCTCTTCACCAAACTGAACACAACAAAAAATCCTTTTTTAATCAATCTTCAGATCACGAATATTTTATAATATTGCCAATATCTTACCATTCTTCCGTAAATTGAATTTATGATGCATAATAACACAAAGATTTCGAACTTTGGTAGGACACTAAATGTAAGCGACTTCATTTTGTCCGCTTCTTAAAGCACTAACTGAAATAAGTTTTGTTTTGCTATTGATCAAAATGATTTAATCAAAATCAACAAGTACCGAGCTTATCAATTTATCACAAATTGACGTGCGGCCGCGATATCAGCGGTATGATTTTGTTTGATGACGTATGCTACTCTAGTGATGCGACTCAATGGCATGGCTGTGAAGTTACTAAATTACTTTTTATTTTTACTGAAAATGTGGAACATGTTAAGAAATATAAACTATTTCTTAAGATGTACCACATTTTCATATACACAATTATATATTCTCTCAAATATTTATTTTGTACATAAAGTAGATAGGTATGTTGAAGACTTGCCTTTCTCCACTTTTTCCCTTATTTTCGGTATTTACTTCAGATGTGGTGGCGGACAAAGAGATTAAAACTAATAAAGCAATAGTTATATTGCAGAATGCAGCGTTTTTGAAAAAACAATATTCGAAGGGTAACGGACTATTTGGTTAAAGCGACATTTTGGGCGATATTGAGTCATTATATTATATATTCGACGGAGAAAAAATCGCTGATTCCGAATATATATAACTCAATATCGCCCAAAATGTCGCTTAAAACAAATAGCCCGTTACCCCTCGAATTATTATGCAATTTAAGTACCTAGTACTGCAAAATCATCTTAATAAAGTAGAATCGTGGCTTAAGCAATGGAGGATCAAAGCAAACGAGACCAAATCTGCCCATGTAACCTTTACTCTTAGGAGAGGCACTTGCCCACCGATTAAGCTAAACGACAAAGAAATACCACAAACAGATAATGCAAAGTACCTGGGAATGAACCTGGATAGAAGGCTCACATGGCAGAAGCACATCTGGGCTAAAAGAAAGCAATTAGATGCAAAACTTCGTAGTCTACACTGGTTAATCGGACGAAGGTCGCAACTCAATACCACCAGCAAAATCTTGGTATATAAAGCAATATTAAAACCTATCTGGACTTATGGAATACAGCTATGGGGAACAGCTAGCAGGAATAACATCGACATACTGGAAAGATTCCAAAGTAAAGTGCTAAGATTAATATTCAGGATACCGCAATGTATTAGCAACAAATACATGTATCTCGACCTAGGCATAAACACTGTTCGTGAGGAAATAGTCCAGGCTAGCCAAAAATACCAGGAGAAATTAGCAACCCATGCAAACGAACTCGCACAGGCCTTAAGTGGAGAGGGTGGACTACATTATAACCGACTAAAGAGACAAGACATTCCCAGACTCGCCCAAAGATTTGTTAACTGAGCCAAAAGGAGGGTTTGCTGGATAGTTCAGCAATTGATTGGCCCTCGAAGAAAACCATTAAAATCACCAGGACATGTAGCTCCAACCAAATAAGTGGCTTATTGTTTTCGAACAGATTGCCATAGTGCAGAAAGGAGAAAAAAAAAAAAAAAAAAAAAGTACCTAGTTACATTGGCTATGGCGGGAATTGAACCCGAAACCTCTATTCAGAAGTAGTACTTGGGGTTACTCAAATAACAGGGTAGAGTCATTTCATCATTTTGGATTCGTTTTAAACCAATTGAGTGTGAGTTTTGTTGGCTTGAGATTCGTAATTCATGGCTTTTCACCGGTTTTCTTACAAATCGCGTGTAATTTTATAATCTAGGCTATTACCTACTGAGAAACACAGACTTCAAATAGACACTGGGAAATCAAAAAATATTTAATATTAAGTACATATTTTGTTCGTACCAGGAATTAAACTCGAGACACCTTTATTTGCTTTTATTCTGTTATTAATAATTACCATGCTTTTTAAAAGGACGTTGAAATAGGTACTTTCCTAATAATTAATTTCATAAAAATACTGCGTCTAATAATAAGGCAAGGGCCAGTAGTAGGCAGGTAGTAGTAGTAGTAGTAATAGGTAGGTAGTGCCATGACAAACTTGTAAATAAAGTTTTACTTCTAGCTGTTAGACAGTTTTCTAAAAATGCTATTTTCAATTAAATAGTTAAAAAATTTATTAATTTGTTAATAATATTTTTGTTCTATATGTAGGGGTGTTTTGATAAAGTAAACAAAAAAAATGCTTTACACTAAGAAGTTTATTAATTCACACGCACTATAAAGTGCCATTATATCAAACCGGCAAGTAGACGAACATAAAACTGATCCCGCACGAGGATCACACGTGGTACAAGCCGGCTCGTCTCACGCCGAGCACGCCTCTGATTGGCGTCAACATAAAATTCTTTATCTCCTAAATATATTTTATACATTAGACAAGAACAACTGTGCTTGTTCCTGTAGCTTCTTCACTTTTTTCATGTTCTTTGAAGACATTTTTTCTTTTCTGTATAATGAGGCGATGGAGGAGTAAAGCCTCCTCACGAGGTCGCCTCGCGTTCTCTTGAGAGCAGCGCCCGAGGGTCGTGCGCTCAGCAGTCGCTTGTGGTAGAAAGCTAACTTCTGTAGCATGACCGGGTTGCAACAGGATCCAGGGACTTCTACACGCTCCTCTTTGTTGCCATTTTGAATAGGTTGTTTTGGAATGCTGTTTACTTTTAACTTCAATCTGTTTAGTTTGGGATTGAGTTTCAGCGTCTTCTTCCTCTTCAACATAGAAGACGGTTTTGTAGTATTATAAATTTTTAGTAGATCTAAGTAATCGGTTCTTGGGAACGCTGTAAAAATGAGCGCATAATGTTGTCCGATCTCTTTTCGGAGATCGTTAGGTATAACTTTCTGTCTTAAATTCATGAGTTTCTCCTGAAGCGCGTACAGTTCACTAACATGGGCCGACCCGTCGGCAAGGCCGGCTTGCCCGATGAGGACCATGTTTAATTTCTTGAGCATTTGGTTAATGTTTCCTCGGTTGTTACTCAGCTGTTTGGGGCTGATAACTTTTTGGTTTAACAATTGTTGGTGGCGATTTTGGAGGAACGTCAGCTCCTTGTATATCGCGCTGGGGTCTCCTATATCCTCTTGAAGTGAATTTAACGCATAGTTGAGTTGTCGCAACAAGCTGTTTCTATTCTTCGGTATGACGCTCCAAGTGTCGCCTTCAGCACTTGGCTTGGTGGCGACGGTGGACACTGGAGTGGTAGGTGTAGGACTGAACCAGTCCCTGAGTGCCGCCTGGAAGGCCTCCTGATCAGCTAGCTTGCCCTTAATACCCAAAAATGACGAAACATCTGTGTTCTCAATTTGTACATTGTGTTTTTCTGTGGTTTCCTTCAACCATGTTTTACCTTGTTCGGTATTGAGCTTCTCAACGATGTCATTGGTAACATAGATTCGGGCTGAGGTGATGATATGGCTCGTATCTGAAACTTCGTTGTCTTGAATCATGTTGCCTTTCTTGTCATGGTTTGCAGAGAAGATGGGAATGAAATTAGGTGCCTTTTCGATGGGCGCCTGAAGCTTATTGTCGTTCTGCGTATTTTTGTTAGGTTCTTTTTTGTTCCCTTCATCGGAGGTTTCCTTGCTGACGGAAGTTTTCCGTTGGGGTGCGGGGCTCTTAGTGACGCGACGTTCGGGCTCGTCGCCCGTGGACAAGTTCCTCTTCTTGTTAAAATGAGAATCATGTGTGGTGGGAGACTTGGACTGGCGTTTGTTGCGTTCATTCCTATGCGGCGTGACGGGAGGAGTGATGTGCTGTGGCCTCTGTGTGTTGTCGCCGGAGGGTTGGTAGACTGGGCGGTAGGAGTACACGTGGGGCGAGTTGATGGGGAGGCCGGAGAACGGCAGCGTGGAGCGGCACGTGTGCACGAGGTGTCCGCGCCGAGAGCACCCGCTGCAGTACATTTGGCTTCCATTCTTTTGTTTGGTTCGCTCCAGGTGGCTGGTGGAGTCTATAGTGTTGTGGTACCGGCGCCAGACGTCGGGGCAGTGGGTGGCGGGGTGGCCAGGCTGTCCACACTCGTTACACTTAAGGTTGCCCCAGTTGGTGCAGTTGCGGCACTTGGATGAGTACATGTGGTTAGGAGAGCCGCAGTTAAGGCAGATCTTCCTCGGACAGCGAGGCTCGAAATGTCCAGTGGAGCCACACATGTAGCAGATGGGCGGCTTCAAGCGACACGTGTCGTCTCTGTGTCCCGGCCGGTTGCAATAGTTGCATCTGTAAAAGATAATAATCGTTAGTCCATAGTTACATACATACAACCTATATGGTTGTAACTTGTATGTATGGATGTGGTTTAGATAATTATTGAGTTACATTCACTGTGATTTTCAGAAATAAAAATTTTGGGTTTCGATTCCTGTAGATTTCATCAGTAGTACCTATGAATGGCATATGAAATGATTCTCAATAATATTATTAATAATATGTAAAAGTTGTGGAATATTGATAAATAAATACTTACGTTACTTTTCTCTTCTGCAGTGATGGCATCCTATCCTTCGGATCAATCGCCCATAAGTCCTTGTCACCTAAAAATGAAACATTATCTTAGTATACAAAGACAAAATATTATCATTACTCTAATTACCTACTTAAATAATAAGGTACATTTTACAATGTTTTTTAATAATGTTAGTTATTTTAATTAACAATGATATGAATTAGACTTGTTTGTTTTTTATAAAGAGATGTGTACAAACAAAGACTCACAATCCCGAACGAGAAAATAAACCCTAAACACTTTTGCCTGATAATTCCAAATAAGACTACTCTTCACTAAAATAAGGTTAAATTTCTCTACTTCATTAATGAAATATTAAGTGTAATATTAGAAAGTATGTCTAATAATTTAGTAAGAAGTTTATTTTGAACATACAAACTCAATTTGTAACCATAATGAGTTCTTCGATAAGCCTAAATATAAAAAAATATAAACAGTAGCAGGCTGTTTTGAACAATTGACTGTTGAGCAATTATGTTGAGGAGTTATGTCATAGTATGGGCCCAAAATAAACTTACAAAGCATAGATTGCACAATAATTATAACTTTGAGAAAAATATTATTGTGCAATCAAACTTTTGTAGTATGGACTGGCTGGATAGAAAAAACATGCTACCTAATTCGTCTTCAATGTAGTGAGATTGAATTTAAATATGGTCAAAGTTAACCAATAGAAATAGAAATAGTAAATGAGTAATAGAGTTCAACTTACGTGACATGCTTTTCTGTATTTCTCTGTGGTTAAAATTCTCTCCGCCCCAGCTCTCATTATAGAATTTCTCCATTTCAGCCCGTAGAGTTGTCAGAGAGTATCTTCGTTGTTTGCAAACTTTCTCAGTGCCTTTCAAATTATCAAAATCGAGATTTTCGTTTAATATCGAAGGAATTTTGGTTGAGCCAAATTTTGAAATGTCATTACCAGATGATGTCTCATCCCCGTAGTAATTGTATTCAGAGAATCCTGATACATTACCCATAACAAGGTCACTTTCTAACTCGGACAAATCCAGATTTACAAAAGTATCATTCCCAGTCAAGTCTACAACAGAAATGGTTGCAGATGTGTCGTTTACACTGGATTCATTCTTTTTTGTAACATGATCTACAGGTTTATTTTGAGAAATGCTGCTGTCTGAACTTTCCACATCAGTATTCTTTTGCTTCGTAATGGGTGTAATTTCTTTCATACATTCAGACAGGTTTGAATCTGATTCATAGACATCAGTGCTGGGTAGACTTTTGTCAGTAACAATATATGAGTGATTGTTCTTATTTGTGTCTACTGACTGGTTACTGTCAGAGTCATACACATCTGCACTCGGAATACTTTTTTCGGTCACTGTATATAATTTAGATTTTTGCTTCTTATTCTTAACTTTACCTTTAGGTGTAGCAAAGCACGCATCATTAGGGGTAGGCTTGCTAGGTGTAACGGGGAGGACAGGAGTAGATGTAACTGCATCTTTGCTCTTCTTCTTCTTCTTTTTCTTTGATGGAGTACTCTGTTCAAGTAGGTCAGATCCATGGAGACTAAAATCAAAGCTGGGATTGTCCTGATGCCTGGAGGATATATTTAATGCAATACAATCACCACGTATGAATTCATCCGACACAGATGAGACAGCCGAGGGTGCAGGACTGGCTGAAATGTCTCTTTCTCCACTTGTTATTGTCTTATCCACATTAACTTGAGTTTTAGCAGGGGTGACTGTGTTGACAATTTGAAGTTCATCTTCATCTGAGCTTTCTATAGTAATGGTTGGTTTTGGGGGTAATGCCACTTCAATAACCTCATCCTCATCACTAGATTCAAGTACTACAGCATTATCATCTTCATCTTCAATAAACTCAATGGTTCTTTTCATAATTTGAGGTACAGGTGTTTGGAATATGGACAGATCGGCAGTAAGAGGTCGTGGTGGCGACTCACGTTTTTCTTCTTTCGGTTTTGGTGTTTGGTTATTTTGGATAACACCATTCTGATGCTGTTTGTTGTTGATGTTATTATTAGAAGGTGTTGGTGTGATATCTTTCTGTACGTTCACCTTTTGAGACGGAGTAGAAGGCTCGCTGGTACGCCAGTAACGACGTACCGTGCTTCGGGGCACATTCTCTAATATGTTTAGACCTTCGCCGCGGTCCGCTGTTAAGTTACCCTCTGTCTCGTCCACATGATGTAGCATAGCATAAAGCCTTTCCTCCAAATCATGCTCGTTAAGTTCCTAAAACAAAAAAAAACAAAACAATTAGGTATTGCAAAATAACCACACAATATCATGGTTGTATTGTGACACAACAAAAATATGGTAACATTGGTAACCTAACAAATTACCTCTTCCATGTTTAAGCAGCGAATTTGAAGTAAACAAAACTCCACACAAACTTAACATAATCGTAATTGGTATTTGGTATAACTGTTAAAGTGGTAACAGCATTACTAGTAAATAAAAAGGAAATTTTGTTTTTACGGACACGTCCAACACTCCATTGCGAAAGGTGACAGATTCACGCAGGGTTACCAAGACCAATATTTATTTGAAAAAGTTTTTAACTATAGCAATCTTGAACCTAGAAATTATATTTAAAAAATAATATATTTATAAAATTATATTATACTAGCGGACCCGACAAACGTTGCCATACATATTATTATGATATTTCAAGATATACTTAAATAAATAGATAGGTTTAAATAACCTAGAATCGACTTCAGCGCCATCTGCCGGGCTGATTTGTGAGTCTAAACCATCCAGGGCGCCATGCATAGAGAAAAATTTATTTATATCGGTCAAGCCGTTTAGCAGGAGATCAAAGACATACACACGTACGGCAGAATTATATATCGAGGGGTAACGGGCTATTTGGTTTAAGCGACATTTTGGGCGATATTGAGTTATATTATATATTCGGAATCAGCGAATTTTTCTCCGTCGAATGATGCCGGTTTCATTAAAATCGGAGCACTTTTTTGGCGTTTCAAACAATTCTATTTTCATGTTGTTTCCAAAGTGGCAGTGTATTAAACGACATGGATTTCGCATTTTTTATTAAATTATGTACTTGAACCATACCATCATATTAATAACCGAGACATAAACCAGTCACCCTATCTCTAATTATTAAGTCAATATGAGTTAAAGCGTTTTTCTTGTTTCTAATTTTTATTAACAAGTAACTTGAATCATTTTGACTTCCCACTAATCACACGGTGTGATGTCGCTTAAAACATTTGTCCGTCATCCAAATGCGTCATGGTACGTCTCTTAAACATTTCTAGCTGCCTCTATTTTCTACGCAGGGTGCTACTTAAACCAAATAGTTGTTTTCGTTCAGATATTTTGTTTAGTCATAAACCATTTAACCCTCAATTTTTTTTTTAATGCATGTCGTTTTATACAGACGATGACATTGATAATGAATATTAAAACATTTTTCCAGTATTCATAGTAATACGAGTCGGTCTTTCAATCACTAAGTTTTAATATGGTACATTTCAATCATGTCATATGATACCATATTTATTTCATCGCCCTGGTGTTAAAAATCGTTATCATCCAACTGGACTATCGTGCGCTGGCGCTTCAGTCACTCCAGAGTGCGCCGAAGACAGACGGGACGCGCGCACACCGCCAGTGTTTACGTAAAACGCTCATCGAAATTGAATTTAGGGTACTTTAATTTCAATTTCAATTTTCAATTTCAAGTACTTAGGGTACTTTAATTTCAAGATGAACCTCGCGGTCGTTCGAAGACTTTGGCAACAATGACAATTTAAGGGCTATTGTGGAGGTTGATGACATACAATCTACGGCTGGTTTAGCAACAGCTTTCGACGTTAGCGTCAAAACAATATTGGTACATTTGCGTCAAATTGGCAAGGTAAAAAAGCTTGATAAGTGGGTGTCCCACAAACTAAATGATCAACAGAGCTAAGTATGCATCGAGCAGTGCGAGGGGGACTGGGATGCCGTCTCCTCGTTTTGCGAAGCAGTTATGCTAGCTAAGGAGGAGGCGGGACGCGTGAGGCAGCGAAGCGCTGGCTCCTCGCAACCCAGCCATCGCGAAGGACACACCTGGCGTCGGGGATCGCGGGACGATCTCCAGTTACCGTAAGCGCGGGCCTGCGGACGGTGAGCATGGGTGGCTCCCCGTCCGACCAGAAACAGACCCGAGCGTACGGGGCGTCGCGTTCCGCGCGCGCCTCAAAGAGCCATCAGACCACCACAGATGGGGCCCAACAGGGTCGATGCCGATTCAGAGCCGCGGAGAACCTAACGGGTAACCGGAGCTTCGGCTCGACGTGCAGGAGAAGAAACGGGGTGATTTTTAGTCAGTAAGAGTCTGACACTCTTTCCCGCCTCACCCAGGCGGGAGCAGTCATTCGATGATTTTCCACCCTTAAAAAAATGCATCGAGTAGTGCCTTGCACTGCACTGCTCAATATACACACAATGAAAGAATTTTGATTTGCATTGTCACCTCCGATGAAAAATGAAATCTGTATGATAACCACACGCGTTTAGCATGTTGGTTGAATCCTAGTTCAGCACCTAAACAATGCCCTAAACGAAAACTTACCCCTAGAAAAGTGATGGTCACTGATGGTCTAGCGCTCGCGCTATTCTGATTCATCACAAATTCTTACCAAACGGAGTGAGCATTACTACGGATGTGTAGTGTGAAGAACTGAACACAATGATGGAGAAGCTGACACATCTCCAACCAGCATTGGTCAATCGCTAATCTCCATTGCTCCTGCATTACAACGCGCGACCTAAAGCTGCACAAGAGACGGCATCCACGTTACAAGAACTGGGGGTGAAGCTCTCCGACATCCACCTACTCACCAGTCACCAGACTACTTCTTTTTCCAGAATTTGGATAACTTCTTGGCGGGAAAAAATTTAATAACCAAGAGGCAGTACAAAATGCATTTGAAGAATTTGTTGTTACCCGTCCAGCTGATTGAAGAAGGGCATCAATAAACTGCCACTGCGTTGGCAACGATGCATTGATTGCATGGGTGATTACGTTGATTATACAAATAAAAAATACATGAAAAAATCGTTTAAATTTTTTCATACAAAACGGCAATTTCAGTAAATGACCCATTAATTTAATTGATTTTGCTGAAATATAATCGATATTCCTATTGAAACTGTAATTATTACTCTAAATAAATACTTTGATATTGTGTTGTGTTTATTTATTCAATGTAAGCATCTGAGATTTTCGGTGATTGCGATATATCCAGGTTGTTTTATCAGCCATTAATCGCCTTAGATGTAAATAAACATAAACATTAAACGTTATAATTTCAATGTTATATGTCACATAAGTAAATTAGCCTGTCACTCATTTTAGTCTGAATTGGTAGTTAAGATAAATAGCTTGCTTCTATTAATTTTGGGTTTCGTCACTTCATATTTTTTAGCTTACTCTGTAAATAGAGTGCATTGTCGCTTAATTTTTTTCCCTTGTAGCCAATTGTAGTTATGAAGTCACTTAAATCATTTTTCCTGACTCTAAAAAAGGGCAGATTGTATTAAGCGACATTTATCTTTGTAATTAAAGGTCCGCTTTATTTAGAATTAGCATCAGCAACTAGATAATTTAATTTAAATTTCAATGCAATTTACCCCGTTCAAATAACTGCAGAAACGTTTTTGTTACGAATTTTTTTTCGAAATTTCAAACTTTAAAAGGCTCTCCTGTAAAGTTGCAAAAATGTCGCTTAAACCAAATAGCCCGTTACCCCTCGATATATAAAGATTATTATTTCTACGTTAATTTTTAACCGACTTCAAAAAAGGAGGAGGTTCTCAATTCGACCGTATGTATGCTTTTTTATGTTTGTTCGCCGATATCTCCGTTATTGGTGATTCATATTAACGTTGTATTACACACACATTAGGATTTTCTCCTGTGTCGTGGGTGCGTTTTACAAACATACAAGTTCACATACACAATGACACCCAGACCCGAAACAAAAATTTGTAGATAACATAAAGTATTGTTCCGTGTGGGAATCGGACCCGTGAGCCGGTTGCCCAACCACCGCAACAACTGTGCAGTCAATTTAAAAAACGTCCTGAGAATCGAACTCGCGCTTGTGGCCACTCGACTCGATCATCGAGGTAATTGGTAATGACACTAGTTTACACGGTATAGTTTTAGTTCTTAAGGTCTAACTGAGGAAAGTGATCAATGATTTCGACAAAATTCCCAGGTGTTATGGAGAGAGAACCTTCTCTAGCAATGGCTATCAGGTAACCGATGATAATATTTTAGCGCCTGCGGAAATTTATAGCCACAGGATAGCGGGCGGCGCGAGAGTGCAAGTGTGAGTCATTAAGCCATAGGCGCACGAGCAACCCCCGTAAAAGACCATGATCAAAAATACTATTGGTTTGTTCACCTTAATATTATTATTAATTTCTACTAATAATTTGTGTCATTTGCGGATTGTCTTTTGAATAGGGAGAATCAAGAATAAAAATAAATAAGGAAATAGGTCAGTTCATTGGAGCGGGCAGACAGAGCGCCGAAGGCGTATTCGTTTCGATTACTTTAAACGTAACGAACTCGTGCGAAGTCCTCTGACTGGTTGGTTCATTGGAACTGGCCAATCAATTATTAGATTACAAGCTGAGCCCGCGACTTCCCTGTGGAATAGTGATTCACAGCTCCTCTCCCGTAATTGATAGCATGATCTTAAGTAGCCTATATTATGTTGACCCGACCTATTAGTAATTTCAAGCAAAATTTGAAGTAAATCCATTCAGCACTTTCATCCCGGACATACAAACAGACAAACAGACAAAAACTCTCAAAACCATATTTTTGGTATCGGTATCAACTGGAGATCACGCCCCAAGCATTCTTTTAAAAAAATATTCGATGTACAGTTTTCACTTTTCTACGATTTTATTATGTTTATAGATGGTCTGGAATAACACATACATACACTGCTTTTTACCCCACGAGAAGTACCTGGCAGAACCAATAGTTAGTAGGTATATTGGGTTTGGTCGTCTATTTCCTTTCCATTCTTTCAATCTATATCGGTTCATATTACCTACGTATGTAGGATTTGATGTATAAATATGATGATGTAAATGGAGTACTCTTACTCCATTTCCATTTACTTGATAATATGACATTCCGTCACTAGGAACTTTTTTAATCTATAGTATGTGCCTAATGAATACTCATTAATTAATAAACAGTCTAATAGAATGATAATTGAGGGAATTATTAGCTGTGAACCATTGTGTTTGTGTGAGTGAAACATTGTGTTTCGAATGGTGAAGAAAATAAGAAATTAACACAAAATTCTTTATAAGTTTATAAATATAATTTATTAATTAATCATATAAAATAATACAGTTATTGTCGTACAGTACATTGTCTAGCGTCCGAACTTATAGTAAAGCTTTACAATGATCTCGTTCAAGGATGAGAGGTAGAAGTCTCACGTCACTATCTTCAGCCATCTGAACAGACGTTCCCCGACTCGGTGAGCGGCATTTCTGAAAGAAGAAAACAGGTATATTGACTTCGAACATAGTTGATAACAAAACATAACGTCACGCCTTTTTCCCCGAAGGAGTAGGCAGAGGTGAGCACATTTCACTGTTTATATACCAGGCACAAATCCAGATTCCGTGCTAAACTACTGAGATTATTTTAAAACCCATTGATACTATTCCCGACTCGGGGATCAAACCCGAGACCCGTTGCCTGGCAGTCGCACTTGCAACCACTCGGCCAACGAGGCATAGTTGATAATCTAGATTATATCTAGTGGATAAATAATTTTATTATATTAGTTTCTATTTCTACTATTTTATGATACGATATTGTCTTATGTGAGTTTAACGATAACAATGAAACAAATGGAGTCCTAAGTAGAATAACAATTTTACAATGATCACAAAAGTTAAAAGCATTTAAGAACGGAGTCATATGTAAAATTGTTTAAAATTAAATTGCAACATAAAGGTAAATACATTGTCTAACTCTAAATATGTTATCACTAAAACACACTAGTTTAGTTTTGCGGTAACCACAAACCCGCAAACCTACTAAATTAGTGTTGTATTGTCTTTGCAAATATGTCTTATCGAGCCACAGTTTTGACAAAAATAGATAAGAGATAAAAATCCTAGTAGACAAGGCTTTTGTATTCTTTATGTCGTTAGTGGATATCTATTGTCCAGTAAAAATAACAACAGTATATTTGTACTGTAGACCACGAAGCCATTTCGAAAAAATTAGATATTATAAACCTAAGAACAAAAATTCTCAGTAGCCGCCCTTCCGCCTGTCCCTTTCGCCCCCGGTTAGTCTGCCACTGACGATGACGGAGACTATGATGATGATATAAATGTAGTGGTGTGTGCCTGATGATGATGTGGTTCGGTTACCTGACAGAGAACCTAGTAGTGCGCGGAGGGTGGCGGCAGGTGAGGGCGGCCACCACTCGCTCCGCCGCCTGCTCCGCTGCCTCACACCGACCTACCCAGATAGGTTCGCATTGACAACTGAAATTTCACACCGAACATTGTTGTCATAGAAAATACGGCTGTTAAAACTATCATACTTGTTCGGGATGCTGGGTGGGATCGATGGTTAAACGTGCTCTTCGAGGCCTCAGAGACTTCTAAGGATTTCAGAAGATGTCTTTGATTTCTTGCAAAAGATATAGGTAACATGTTGTTACGCCATTTTAACTCCAAAGGCAGAGAAGTGGACAAAATACAATGTAACATCTACTTATCATCAATTATGTTACCATGTAATAGGGTGTTAACCTATTGCCAATCACCGGACACTGTGCTACTATATTCTAGTCAAAGTCTTATTTAAATTAATCCTTAATTATGCACGTTTGAAATGTCAAACGTATAGTGTCATAAAATCCTGCTATAATAGGCGCTACTTACACTTTAGCTACATGTTTCAGACTGGCCCACAGGACCGTGTCAAACGCTGCGCCGGCGTCGCTGAAGGCTCCAGCCGTGTCGCCCGCACACGCCCACGCGATGCGACCGCCGCGGTGGACACACCACGATAGTGATTCTAATAGCTAAATCAAAATATGTATCATCATTATTTATGAATATTATTCACTACTGAGCAAAAGTCTGCCCTTTAGTCATCCACCCAAACTACAATTTGCAAATAACAACTTTCCGTAATATTTTATTTATGTATAGATACAGACAGAATTTACAATCAATAGATATTCGATTTTATAACAAAAAAAAGTAAAAATTCTGTTTGAGGAGTATTGTTGAATGACATCGCGCATTTTTTCCTTAGGCTTTTTGTACCTAGATTATTAAATTTGTTATGAAATACACGGGCTTGGGTGTGCTCAGATAACTCGGCAATAGTGCTAAATGGAATGTCAATTTCATTTATATTTACTTAACAAAGTAACTAAAGTATTCGTTGTACATTACGTACAAATGATCAACTTGACCCACATTAAGTTAGAAGAGAATAAATAATTGATAACATCCTTAAAACCTCTAGTTATATTAAAGTAAACGTGTAATGTTCATAATGGCCATTATTAGCAGTAATTAAAACAGTTTGACGCTCTAATTACCTTTAGATTATCGTAAACGTCTTCAGTGACGAGTCTGGCCATGCCGTCTAGGCCATCAGCCTTTGGTTCTGCGCCTACGACCACAATAGCGTCGACTTTAGCCTGGCTCGTAGCAGGATCCCTCAGATCGCTAACCACCTCGCTGTCCTCGATCTGGTCTATTGTGGCTACGACACAACCACGTTTCTCCAATCGCCTTTTCAGTTCTCTTCCTAATAAGTTAGTCGTGTTTGTTACCTGTAATGATCTTTGCTAATAATAAACTGCCTACCGGATGAGACTCATCATGTCAAAGGACGCGTCTTTGCTATGTCATTACCGACAGATAGGCACTTATCTCAAAAATGTGCAGTGGTTGAGACAACAATCAATTCGTGAGTACTCAATTACGATGACATCAGTTGTGTTCACGATGTAGTTAATCGCAGTGTCATATTATGTAGACATGATTACAAGAAGCGTCCATCTTGTGACAAGTTCATTGCATTTTGAAGTATTTACTTCTTAGAATTCTTCCACAAAATTAGGTAATAAAGTAGGTAACTACCAGTTATAAAATGAGTCGTAAATTATCTCTGTATAGACGCTATTATAATGGTGCTAAAACATTTCTATTTAAGGTACCTAATATAATAATCAACATAGATGTTTACCAAAACGCGTCGTATGTCCCTCCCCGTTCGGTGTTGTGCTGCGATCTTCTTTCGGACCGTGTAAGCCAGGAGAGCAGAGGTGGCGAGGAGTATGGAGCCACCTTCTAGCGTCGCGAGCAAGCGCCACGCTAACGCTGCACCACCTTCCACCGCCTCTGACATATCCTCTGAAAATATAATACATTGAAAATGTTAATACTATGGCTGGTTAACAACATATTCTTTGTATAATATGTATCATTTCATCCACACAACGAAGAAGAAGAAAGAGAAATGTAATGTTCATGTCCCTTTCCCTTTTTTATTCTATGTTCATAGTGACATCATTCATGTGCTTCGGTCTACTGACATTAGAGAACACATCACATAAGTATGTGTTAACGGAGGCCTAGGCCACAGGAAATAGTTATATACTTAAATAGCAGACAATTACTTTAAATAAGGAACCTTATTTATTTTAAGGTCGATTTTACTGTTAAGGTAACGGAAAGTTCGGTGTCTCAAGCTATTGTTGGTAGGCAGTAAAACGTAGTCAAATGACGAAATAAGGGCTGGAGCTAGAGCGTGAACAACCTTCCTCCAAGTTTCTAATTAAAGGCAAAGTTGATTAACTTTTATTTATTATAATAAGCAATTCTATTTGTAATACGAATATGAAAATGTTTAAATATCAGTTGCAATACAAGTAAGTACCTATAAAGCTTTATTTTTCTAGCATTATTTATTTTGGTCTAGCTTCTAGTTTATTTTATTTCTCAATCTTTTAAGTAATTGATGCACAAATTTTTTTAATAATGATTCTCAATCTATGATTTAGGTTACATTATGTTGCAAGAGCCTACTCGAATTTCCAGAGGCTAATTTTATAAATAAAGAAATTATAGTTAATTATACATAACGTTTTTCAATTTCCTCCGGAAACTACAGTCCATAGTATTTCCATTAATCTTAACAGTCGAAATTTGGGACTTATTTTGAATATAATATACTCTAAGGTTCATATTTATATTTATATCTTTATAATTTTTATAAAAACTTAGTGTCTTTACAGCTTTATCACCGAAATCTTCTATTATTTACCGGCACGTCAAGTTCAATAGTACAATTTGACCCTGAGTTCACCGGTCGCATGTTTTTGTTACATAATGACATAGTTTTGTTACATGCTCTGTGTACATATTTACCTTAGTATTTTGTCATGTTCAAAGTCTGTGTGAGACGTAACGTAATAAGTGATATGATTATGACGATTATTACCTACTATGACGTGTTTATTTACGACTTTACGGGGTATAAACCGCTTTTTCTAATATTTCTAGGAATATTGCATTAAGATTGATTAAGATAGAACCACCAATTAGTTTGAATGAGTTGAGTAAAGTTTTTATTAATGTTTTTATTGATAAGCGCAAATACTGAGCCACTGAGCCTTGAAATCCATAGATGTTGGTCTGTAGTACATTAAAATTTTAAGCGCATCAACTAAACAGGAGAAAATCATTGGTTTTTCCGTTGCGAAATTCTTAGAAGTAACTGGAAACCTTGAGCTGTACTTAGCGTATCATTCATTTCCTTAAAAATGACTACTCATAAAAATGGATGTAGTATGAAGGACGTAGGTCTGTGTTGTATCTATGTAGTGCATTCGTGTCTAAGCAAAGGTTAGTTAAATGTGTGATGGTTTAAGCTAACTAGCCTTTGCATTGATGCTAAATGATTCCTTACACCTATTTGAAAAGGACCACACTCTCATAAGTATAGTAATTCAATATAGTACCTAACGAGCATCTTGCATTCATTGATGACACATGGACAGTTCGTACTGGCAGTCAATAAATCAGTGAGGCAATAGAATGATTTATAGACCATCCGGTCATACCATTCACTTTATGGGACATGAAGTATTAAGTATTCTAACATTTTGTTACTAACTAACAAAGGAAATATAATTTTCGATGCTTCGAAGCCTTAAAGACAATAAAGATCTACCAACGGAATATCGCTTGATGTTTACCGTAGGTATACAAGATATAAACTTTATTATAATCTTTATTTTGGGATACAAAATTAAAATGTATTCAAATTTACACACAAACAAAAAGAAATTAACATAATTCTTACTGGACTCAATTTAGGACAAACTTATTTTCCTTAAGTCATCTATAGTATATTACACAGTAATTATGTAGTTTTAAATGTAAAGAACTAGGAATGAACTGGAACAATTACCTACGTATTGTTAGCCACGTGTCGAGCTAATTTCCTGATCTTGAAACCTACATGGTCGTCTATCATGAATTCTTGGAACCAATTACTTTTTACCAAGTGGCTTCACCCAGTTGTACAGTCTCTTCTTTGTGCCTTTAGGCTTAATTCATTCTGTTCTGTGTTCCGAGGGAAGTAGAAACTATAGTTTTTTCTTCTTCTCCTTTTAAAATATCTTCTGATTCACTTCGTTGTGGGAACCAAGAGAGTTACTCATGTCCCTGGGACGCGCCGGACTTCAGTGTTCCGGTGTTTTCATGGTTGTATCTACTGTAGATCCTTAGAGGCTTACAAGAGTTGCAGCGGTTTTGGGAGGTTGTGGCGGGCTTGTCCCAAAAAAAAACCAATTACTTTAAAATAATGATGAACTCCAAAGTCTACTGCAATGTTGTTAAGCCTGAGTTTCGTATGTCCTGTTTATAGTTTAATCTTTGCTAACGCTCACCAGGTGGCTCTAAATGTCAATTGTATTCTGTCTTGAAAGGGTAATCCATTCACTATCGCACCTTAAATTAAGTGTAGTGTGTCTTTCTTGGATGGAAACTATGTATGAATACATTAGTTTCACATAAGTTAATAAACACATGAGAGGGCCATGCTTGCACGCGTATGCATGCTTCTGTATGGAGTTATACGGCCTCACTTAAAACCAGCGTGAAACAACTCTTGCGCTGTGTGAGTGAGGTTACCGGAGATCGAAATTCAGCCCCCGTACGTACTTGTAGCTTCCTTAGTGTTTAAGGCATCGATTGCTAAAGTTGTCACATGGTGTATTTTGCTTATTTGCCGTCCTAAGCCATACAAATTAAATTACTTATTACTAAGGGGTCGGCCCCTAGAAACGGAAGGACAAAAATATGTCCCTTTATTGTATGTATGTATAATAAATATACTTTGAAAGAATTTTATGTAGGTAAGGTTAAATAAATAGTACATGCGTGTTCGACGCTTGTATGTACCTGTATGTTTATATGAAAATTATGACATTTGGTAACATTTGGCAATACCAAGCAAAGTCGGCTTAATGCTCATGTTTATTTAAGTATGAAAAATGAACATGTGCCTAAGTATGTAAGTATTATGGTTGTGACGAAATTATTCAAATAAATACTATGAAGATAACAATAGTTTCGACATTCCTATTTTGCAATAGGTCTACTTTTGTTCAACATGTACAATAAGATATAGTATTTTGAAAAAAATCAGAACATACCTCAATAAAAAGATGGTCATTATTTGAATTAAAACATTTTAGTCAGGCAAAGAAAAATAGCAATTTTTAATAAATATCAAATACATATTGCACCTGAATTGTACATTTACGTAGTTAATACTGAAGTTGTGTACTGAGTCTACACAGTAGACTATCGATTGTCTACTAACTCGTATAATTGTCCGTTCGTGCGTCCTTAGCCTAACTACGATCGCTAATAAGATGTAATAATACCGTAGTTTAAGTACTCAGTTAGTAGTTAAATATCTATTGTTTACAGTTCCATCAATTATGTTAAATAATAAATAACTTCATAATAGTTTTTATTTGAAGTGCTTGTTATGTTTTATGGTAAAGAAAGTTTTCAATATATAACAATTTAGAGCGCGCGTTGAAGTCTTTTGTATGGGCATTTATTAAAATTAAATTGCAAGTTGATTTACTCTAAATAAAGTATGTAGCTAGTCAACATATAAACGATCATTGAACTTTGGCCTTGTAACACTTCTTATTCTATAATTTGTATGTGTTTAAACTCACACATTATGGGTTTAACAAGAATGAGTTGAATTCAATATTGGCGGAAGATATTTGCTTATCTTGCAATGTTTATCTGACAATGCTTTTTAGCATTGAATTTTATAGTAGTTTAACCCTGAGATATATGCATCTTTAAACTTAGGCTAAACTAACAATTATTTCTTAGTTAAAGATAAGTTATTTTGAGTAAAATTACTTATTTAAAGTTGAGTGGTTTTCAAGTAGATCAAGGTTTGTTCAGTAAGTAGTAGTCGGTGCCGGTTAGTCGTTAACTAACTAGTTAACAAGGATTACATTCAAGGATATCTTAGGATATATAAATTTGAGCACCTTCGTCTGAGCTTGTCTGCATATTCTATACTTAAAGGCCTACGTTTTATAACATTTAAATAAATCATAAAGGTTTATGTTTTTAACAACCTACAATTTGAATCTCGCCTAAGGTTTGGCAGAGAATCCTGATCTACCAAGTGTTTTAATAAAAACGAAAACTTAACTTCTTCATTATTTTTCTATCAAGTTTCAGATCTTGTTGGTACTTTTGACTTTATATTGAAGCAAATAATTGTAGGATTACCTGCATTTGAAAACAAACTTGCTTCCTCTTTGAATCCGTAGCATAACCAACGTTGCTTAAGGATTATATTTACTTGCATAATTATATAAGTGCACTTATGTACTCCTTCTTGAAATAAAAAGCACGATCATATCTCATAAATTATGTTAAAAACACAAAGAACTGACGTCAATATGTTATCTCAATAAATCTGAATTCTAACTTATATTACTTTTACAATTTTGCAGACATATAAAGATAAACGTGTCATAATGACTTTATAACGATAAAATATATGCCATTATATACAATTGATATAGTAAAAAGTGATAAAATGACATACTTAGTACGTAAATTAGTAGATGCGGTGTCTCCTCGATTATACTAACATTCTCCTAACACAATACATATTATTTATATGTCCTTTGTTTTATTCACCTCAATAATAAATAGAGCGTGCAGTTTACTAATGCAACTCACACACAGCGTAGCACAACTTATTTTACATTTAACTTCTTTATAGAATTAACAATGCTATAGAAAAAAGATTAAAAACCTTTAAAAGAAATTAGCTACGGCCTACATTCCACGAG